TTGAATGATACCGATTGTTTGAAGACATGACTGCCAAGGTATCAAAGGGTATCTTTCCTTTTAAATAGCTCTTACAAAAATGGAACTACTATTCATACATGTTTGTGCAATTTCACATTTCTGTGAACGCAATGAAATGTAGACAGAAGATGATTTCATGCATTAAATATTAAAGAGTTTCTTTGAGATATTTTATACATTTATTTGAGATATTTTATACATTTTTCCGTATTACTTGCAATTTGTGCATTTCTTTCAGCTTTAAATTTTTCATAAACACCTTAAAAATCCGCTTACGACGAGAGGAAGTTTCCAAAGGGGAGATCTCGCGAGATTTCGAAATAATTTAAATAGATACATATTCCGCGAGGTAGAATTTATTTCATTAAACGCTCGAAATGATATATATTCGTATATTATATATTCTGATTTGAAATTGTTAGCTACAATTACCAGAGGGATCGAAATATTCTAGTTTCATAAATAATTAGAAAATTTATAAATAAATTTTCAAGCTTTCATTGTTGTATTGCGCCACAAAAATTTCCCTTTCTTTCCATTTTTTACAAGACTGATAATTCTACAGTATTAAAACATAGATACAACTATTATACACGTACTAAAACACTATTCTACAGTATTAAAACTATTATATACGTACTAAAACACTATTCTACAGTATTAAAACATAGATACAACTATTATACACGTTCAAAATCATCATCTTTAATTCACGCAACATATATATATATATATATATATATATATATATATACATACATATATAACATTTTCCTGTCATAAATTTTTAATCATGCTTTCAATAGCACGTACGTATTTATATGATAATTTGTTTCTTACTTTGATCCGCAGAATAACCTAGCAACATCTGACCGGAGAAACAGAAACATCCGGTATACACTATATAATAAATATATCTCGTCAAAGCTGAACAATGTTTAGCTTATGCTGATATATTGGCAGAAGCAGATAACAAGGCTCTAGCGTAGGAGCCGCGTGTATTTTACGTTGCAAGAGTATCGAGACTGTTCATATACTGTTGGCAGAAACAATGGACTTTAAAGCTTTACTCTGGATCTTTGTGCGTGGCATCGCCATATTGTCTGACTGCGTTATCTCTCAGTCGCCGCCAAATTTCAAGCACAATAATTTATCGGCTTATTATTTTCCCTCTTTTTACCTTACGCTTCATTTCTGCCTGTAGTTAATATCGACGGCCTTTATCGGCTCGCGATAGTCGTTAAAGGTTTTTCTTTTTTTTTTTTTTTTTTTTTGACGGAACGACTTCCACGTTGTTATCAAGTTTCACGGAGTTATTTCATCGCGTTATTATTTCGGAATTTTATTGGATCACGAGTTTTTCAACGATCGGAAAGGCAATGAGCTAATGGCTCGTCTGAGAATCTTTTCTTTTTTTTTTTTTGCCCATCGGAATTCTGTAACATTGTTGAAGGGTCAAAGTACATGAAATCGACGCGAAAATAAATGGTAGAAATTGTTTGAGAGTATCCTGTCATTTTACACAGAAGCGTATATGAAAGAAAAATTTCAATTTTATCATACCTTGACATGTTATTTGAATGAAATATTTTGAAAATGATTGTTTAAGTAACAGGTCTTATTTCAGTGGATATTATCTTCAATAATAAATTCATTATTGTTAATTCATTGCTACTAAGCTATTTCATTATTTAGCTATCAAATAAAATGTTTTCCTTTCGTTTTACTCTGCCTTAGATTGATTTCTTAAAGTTTGGTATCAACCAAAGTGTTCAAAGTTTAAATTTATAACAGAAAGATGAAACTTCATTATATCGTAACGTTAATTTATAATCAGAATATTCGTGTGATTTTCTGATGCGAGAAATGCCTGGAAGGTTTTCTATAAATCTAAATTTAGCATTTGAGGGAAGTTGAAGACATTTGTTGCATCCAAACATTTTTCTCATTTCAAGAAAGTTTTTTTAAATGAAGGAATTATAACATCTGTTCTAAAACTTTGTGAATTTTAAAATTGATAATTTTTACAATTGGAATATTGGAACAAAACACTGAAATAGTATATTGAATAATGTGTTAATTACTTTGATTTTTTTTTATTTAAATTTTGAAGACATTAAATATTGATTATATGAACAATTAAAGTTTGACATTTCGCAAGCATTTCTAATATTGTCTGTACAAATCATTCTGACTCTGTTTTATAAATTCCGATTATTTTTTGTTTTACTTCAATGAATTAGTACAAAGTATTCGAATTATTTAATTATTCAATTTAGGAGTTTCCCTACGTTGTTCATCAAATGGAAATAATAAATAATATTCGATGAATATTTGAAGATAGTATATTTCTAATTAGTGTACTTATTTAATTAATTAAATTACTTATTAATTTATCCATTTAATTACCTAAATTAATCAGTGGTAATCAATTCATGATTTCAAGTTATTGAAATAAAAAAATTTGCCCGACCGCGCCATTACACAAATTCATTCGCTTGACCTAACTCAACGCAAAATCAATAAAAATCTACTGTTGTAGAATTTTAATTAAGCCATCGTAATATGTCACTCTCATTAATCGATCAGCGTTGCAAAAAGATTTATTTACAAGATCGTAACGGCAGAAGCTATTAGAGTTTACAGTCAAGCTGAAGTCAGGGTGGAGAGAAATTCCAACCGCAAGTTAACCAGTTCCAAGTCACGACGAGAGATGTTTGCAAACCAGTTGCACGGCCAATAACTCGGCGACTAGAAGTTACCATTAAACTGCATCGACGATCGACAGATATTTGCTAGTCGCTCAAGTCTGACGAAAGTTCGCGTTCGACTTACTTATTATCAAATTAGATGATAATGTACCACGAAGCCAGCGAAAGGCAGGAGCTTCCATTATGGTGACCGCGAGGTCTTCAACGGTGCAAAATCAATTGAAAAATCGACAAAAACGAACGAGTTACGTGAAAAATAAAAAAAAAAAGAAATAAGAAAAGAAATACGAGAACAGAGATAATTTTTCATTTCGTTTCGACTCGTCGGTGTTGTTTGATCGTTACTGACACAATCGAGGAGTGAAGAGATTACCGTGCAACGTTAACCAATCTGAAGATTGACGTCAACATTCACCTTGACGCGTAATGATATTACACGCGATTACAACGCCGAGTCTGGCTGCTTTCTTCGAATGTACTGCACTCCCTCGTACAGATGGCCATCAGATCTGATTGCTTCTTGCTTATTCGCAGATCAGGCCGCGATTAACAGCGTTCACATTGTGCAAAATGATCGTTGCTTCGATATTTTTTTTTTTGTCGCGCGAGTCAAAGAAAGCGTTCTTATAACGTGATAGGTTATAACTGGATTACCAGGTTAATTGATGTTTCTTTAAAACTGAATATCAGACATGCAAATTGGAACGTACGATGATAAGACATTAGGAGGAAACCGGTAACGAGATTTTTTTTTTCACAGCGGGAAGAAACACATCTGCGGAGAAAAAGAAGAAAGTTTTTCAGCCTTGGCAAAGCGGGTGTGTGATTTATAATTTTGACGCGTTTAATTTTGGAACTGAACTAGGTTTGATCAGTATCAAGAACTGCAGTCTTTGTACATATAGTTTATAGTATAAAATTATAGTATAAAATATTTTTAATTAAATTTTCTATAATATTTTAATATAATAGAAATATATTTTCTATAATATTTTAATATGATAGAAATGTATTTTCTATAATATTTTAATATAATAGAAATATATTTTCTATAATATTTTTATATTTATTTCTATAGCTTTCTATACTTATATGTATATGGTTATTATACATGTATAATAATAGAAAGCTAATTTTTCTAATTAATTTAATTTTCTAATTACTGTCGAAAATTTTAATCTTACATGTATATACATTTTATAAATATTAATTTACATGTCAGTTTTCATCGTATAACTGGAAAAGATTCTACACGTAAAAATAAATTGAAAAAAAAAAGAATAATGCTTTTTTCACTTAAGACTTCGTTCTCGAGAAAATACGCTTTGAATATATTTTATTAAGAATTTATTTGACATATATTTGTACTTGATAAATTCTTAATTCTAAGTGTCTTTAATGAAAAGATTTTATTTTACGTTTTTAACTTATTTTCAAATATTTGATTACTGAAACTGATGCGTCATGTTAAAAAATTTCATTTTTCTACTTAACTGTCTATGTAAAAAGACCAAAACATACATTATACTAATATTATTATAATTTTAATACATTGTAATATTATTATAATTTTCTAATTAAACTATAAGTAAATAGAAGATAAGTTTATTATTGTAAAATCTTAGTATCATGCATTACAAACTATAATTGAATCATAAGCCATTCACTGAAGAAAATATTGAAGCAAATCTTAGAACTATTTTGAATATAGTACTTATAAAGAGTTGAGAACTTTCTTACTATAAAGAATTAAATACAACACTGATGGAAATTTTTTTTATGCGTTAGCTCTAGTATCAATAGTATAATAAAGCAACTTTTTAATTGCTACTTGCGCAACGTATTTACGACAAAGCATCCGCGAATTACGTAAATTCATTTCAAACACTACGTCAGAAATTAATCAAACGTTTAACAAAAGAACATATATTAATCGTCGTTGGACGTAAGAGTTTCAATTCACGATGCAGTCACTTTTATGGCTATTATTAATACTACCGCAAAGAGGATTCGATCGTCGATGATACACACGATTAGACGGAAAAACAGAAAAGGTATATTTCGTTTCGTGTAAATCACTTGAGCATAATTTACGTCATGTTCCGGGCAATAACACATTTTTAATGTTTGCAGATATCTTAAATTACATCTATTATTGTGTCATTTCAGAGAAACGTACGTCATTAAACACTCAAACACGTTATGTTATCTTCCGTCTGTACGAATTGTCTTTTAAATCTGATTATATAAAGAGTTGCTTCTTATAAGGTGTTCCAGTCATTTTGACGTCCGAGACAAAAGGAAGGATCCGTAGTTTTCTTTTTTCTCTCTCTTTCTCGCAAAATTTCTCCGTCGAATAAACGTAAGATCACCTTTCTTAAAGCAAAAGCTGTATGTTTCTCTGTTAAAATTCTTGCATCTCGCTTAATTCTGCTACTGTACTTCCAGTCGTTTCCGATCCAAAAGTTCTCTTTGAACAAACGTACAAAAGAAGTTTCATCGTTATTTTATTTTTAACTTCTTTTTTTATTTATCACAATGGGAGCAAGATCTAAATAAGAGGAATCGTAGCAGGGTTAAAATAACCGAGAGAATTTCTTGTCGAGCTTTTCTTTCGCCAATGAAAATTTTAAATATTTTCGTTGTAAAGATGTTAACAAGTTGCACATTTAATTGAAATATAAAAATTTTAGAATTATTTCGATTATTTTACGATGGTTTCTGGCTATTCTCAACGTTTTTTGTACGTTTCTGGTAAAATTGAAAGGTTCGAATGAAATTTAATTGCAAGTGTTTCACTACCTGCGAAAGCATTTCGCGTTAATATATAAATATTAATAATTTCTACACTAATTATATGATATATATCTTAGTATTTATTATATTACGTGATAACTAGTATTTATTACTGCTGAGTGGATATTTATCTTTGTCTAGATCTTCAAAAATATATTATTAGTCTCGTACAGTGTGAAAAGAAAAATTGAGGAAAAAAAGGAACAGAAATCATAAAGCAATGTTTGCAGACTATGATTATTTAATGAAAGCAAAGGGAGAAAGTATAAACTACTAATATACATTTATTATTAAATTGTAAAAAAACACGGACTCTTCAATTTTACTAAAAACTTAAAGAGTCCCTACACTCAGTGGCTAGAGGTTGTGATATCAAAATTTCGATAACAACAGATAAATAAATAATTTTTCACAGGCAAATCGAACGCCACGCAAATTTGATCACTTCACATTACAATGGACAAATATGGAACGAATATGAATCACGTTTGACGAACAGACAACGAATTCATACATGAGACGAATTTCTTGAGATAGGACGCGTATCAGTAAGGATCGTCACGAAAATACGAATCGAAAAGCTTTATTGTCCGGATATCGGGGAGAGTGATTATTTAACATCGAACACCTGTCGACGTATTACCTGAATTAAGCTGACTTTGTGTCTTCGCGATGGCCTTGTAAATATCGAGGCGTTGTACAAAGCAGCTCGATAAAAGCAAGCCGCGAGCGGTTACTTTTTACTGACGAGATAAAATAAGGGTCGCTCGCTCGAGACAATCGACCCTGATCGCCATCCGATCGTAGAATGAATATTAACGCGACACACATGAACGTTTACGAACACGATTAACAAACCCCTTGTCCCTCCCTCTGTTACAGATCGACAAGATGCCACTGTCGGAGTTCCGTAAAAAGAAGCTGCTCTACGTTTTCAACACCTTTTTCGGTGAGTAAACGACAGCAGTTTCACCTGGCCTTGTCCTGATAGTTCCTCATATTTTGTCAACTTTAAGAAGAGCTTGATCTTTCGTGAAAAACACACCTTACCCACCACTTTCGTTCACTGCCGAGTTCACATCGTGTTAACATCAAGCAATCTATTTATAGGAGCTACACTCTCGCACAAAAGTTTTAGAACGTCTTTCAGTTGGAATTTTAAATTATTAATTAATTTGTTATTATATAATCGTTGCAGTGTTGGTAGTGGCATTAATACGGAGGCAGGGAGGTTAATCTTTAAAGAATTTGACGATATCCCTTTTGGGACTCTGTAAAGTTTGTATAAGATGTACAGAAATATTTGTGCTTTTGCAGTATTGATTTTAAGTGATTCATACTTGTCATACGATATTGATAAAAAAAAAAAAAGGCGTGATTAGCATTCTTGAGTCATACGACAGATCTTGCAAAATCAAAGTTAAAATATTTATTGATCTGGTAAATTGATCTGATAAATATATTTTCGATGGAAATATGTTAGAAGTTACAAAAGTTACCAAGATAGATTTACAAATGTATGTATATTTATATACATGAGAAAACATGTGTCTCTCGACGTCATGCAAATAAAGTCTGACGGATTTTCTCTTGTCATATGATTTGCGTTTTGATCGATGTACTCTTCATTGGAAAATAGTTATTCGTTGTAATACGAATGGAGACTTTCAAAATTCTTGAACAGTTGCACAAATATGTCTGCGATTCTCCAGTTCAAAAGCCTTCTGCTTTAATAATCAAATTTTAATTCTAAATAATAAAACTTTTGTATATAAACGCAATTGCGTTATAATATAATTTTGCATAATTATGAAATACGATGATTGTGCATATATATAAAATTGTATATAATAATACGGTTATAATTGCAAAATTTTTAAACTGCATGTATACATCTTATAATACAATTGTCAGTATACACGTTGATTAATGGTCTTTTCTAATATAACGTAATTTATTTTTGCCAATATCTCAGTAACTATGTATTTTAGACCCCATGCTTTTTTTATGTAGAATTCAACGCTTTATTCAAATTCGGGACGAAATATTAATATTTAAAGTATTGATTTATTATATTATACTATATTATATTTAAAAAATTGAAGGTGACCTTCATATCTTGATAAAAAAGCGAAATAAAATTGATTACAGTACTATATGCCCCTCTGAAAGCCATGCAACTTCTATCATCTGAAACACTTTTTCGTATAACAAATATTTTACGAGTCATTTGATCACCCTGTGATTAACACGTTATAAATTCTTTATTGTGCAAATTGGTTGTCCAATTTCTCCACTGTCAAAACAAACACGACGCTCGTTCTAAAACTTTCGAGCAGACGCGTACGAACGATAAAACCTCAATTAAATCTCAAAGCGATTTATTTTAAAACACACGATTAAAATCCATTTTCATTTACATTCCTCGCCGGTGATCTCTGGCACAATCGATACATTGTTCCGCGTTTCTTCAACACCGGAGCGATAATTGGATTTTTCGCCCAAAGCAGAAACAGTGGGGAAAAAAAAAGAAGAGAAAGAGAGAGGATAAAATATCCATTTAAACGAGTTCGTTCCACGCATTCCTCTTTCGAAACGTTTCTTTTTTTTTCCTTTTCTCTTCTTCCCTCGATAACAAACACGACCGCCAAGCCCCCGTTAGTAATCCGATTTCACGTCGATCATCTCGCATCCCTAATTGCCCCCAGAGAAAATTTCACGTTTATCGTTGATGTAACTCGAGCTTTCGCTACGAATCCGCCGCGAGTTTCTTCGAGACCCCACGAAGAAACACTCTCCAGTTGCCTGGTAACGATTGTAGTTTCCCGGACCTTGACGCGATTTCTCGTATCACGAGCCATAGGTTGGCTTAACAATCTTCATCCCATTCCCTCTTCGCGACCCCTTTCGCCAGCTATCGCCGGTGAGCAACGCGACCATCCACGAGAGATGAAATACGGGCCGGGGAAGGTGTAGAGGTCGAAAGGAGAGGAAGAGGAGCGGACGACATCCTCTCGAGGGTATTTTTGGGGGCTAGAAACGGAATGGAGGCTGCGCCGGGGCGTTTTGTTCGGTCTCTCTATGGTACTTATGTGTTGGGCAAAAGTGAGTCAGCCTGGACACATCTATTTATGGTATGAACAGCAGCAGATAAACAATGGACGCGGTTAAGGGGGATGCCTTGTCGCGTTGAAATTACACGTTCACTGTATACGCCTATCGTCGAGGTGCCAGAGCAATGTCACTGTCTATGTGCGTGCACCTGCACGTTTATACGTGTGTACGTGTACGTGCGGCTAATCATTCATACGAGTTATTCGCAGTTTCGTGTACTTTCTAGAAAGGCCGTTCACACGTGAAACACGAGGGAATTTCTCACCGTTGGTACACCACCTTCCAGTGTTAAAATTTCGGCGGTACGGTGAATCGTCGATCTTTCAACTGTCTGATGAACTTGGAAAAATGAAAATTCGAGAAGTCGAAACACGGAGTCGAGTGACAGAGTTGCATGTTAACGCAACGAATGAAATTCTGCACGTTATTCGACTGAGACTAAACTAAAATCTACTCGTTAGATATGCTCTATATATACATATATTTATATATGTTTATGTACATTTATGTATATTTAAATATATTTAGGTACATTTATGTATATTTAAATATATTTAGGTACATTTATGTATATTTAAATATATTTATGTACATTTATGTATATTTATGTACATTTATGTATATTTATGTACATTTATGTATATTTATGTACATTTATGTATATTTATGTACATTTATGCATATTTATGTACATTTATGTACATTTAAGTATATTTAAATATATTTAGGTACATTTATATATATTCATATATATTTATGTACATTTATGTATATTTAAATATATTTAGGTATATTTAGGTATATTTAAATATATTTAGGTACATTTATGTATATTTATATATATTTATATATATTTATGTACATTTATGTTTATTTATACATATTTAGGTATATTTATGTATATTTAAATATATTTAGGTACATTTATGTACATTTAAATATATTTAGGTATATTTATGTATATTTAAATATATTTATGTATATTTATATATATTTATATATATTTATGTACATTTAAATATATTTAGGTATATTTATGTATATTTATATATATTTATGTATATATATATATATATATACATATGTCAATATTTTGTCGATTTTTATTATTTACCAATCTTTCCAAATAATTCAAACACACGTATAAATAGATAATTTAAACTTTTTATCGAATCAGTGGGGAGTCGAAATTATTGAATTTATCGCGGAGAGATTTGTCTGGAATGTTGCGTCGATTCCTGAAAATGTTGGATTGTGTTTGGAACTCGAGGATTCACTATACGCGTTGCACATGTAACAAGTAGATGTAGACACCAGACACGATGATGTGGGTCGTGGAGAGAATCGCGGACAATAATAATAATCGAATAATAATCGGTAAGCAGCGAGCGGACATCGAAGAGAGCCTCCTGCGTTTAGCACGGCCTAGTCGCGATGAGGCTTAGCTCGTGTGGAGCGTGTGGAGGTCACAGGCGTGTACACGCTTCGTGGCCCTCATTAGTCCCATACTTTCTTCCCTTCTTTGACCGTCGATCGGCTGCTAAACATATCCTGCGGGGCTGTTCTTCGCCGTCGATACGGTATTTCACCGTGACCCAGAGAAGCCATGAACGGTGCGGTGAATCGCGAATCTTCGCGTGAAAGCTGGCGGTTTGCGCAAAATCGAGCAATTTTGCCGTGGTTTCGGTGATAAATACGTACGTCCATTTTGACAGGCTGGTTATTTAGAGGTTGCTGTGTACGTGCGAATTAAGAGGCAAAAGTGTTCCGAATTTTTGAATAACAGAACGATTTTCTAGCGATTCTCTAGCTTGAAGCCTCAAGAGGACATTTATTTCATTCTAGTACAATTAACGTTCGTTTAACGCTGAACAATTTTATTTCAGCGAATATTTTATTTATCCTGCGTTTCATTTCACGACTGAATGTTATATATATTCAAATATGAAATTAAGAAAATCATTATAGATTATTTCTACATCTTATTGACACTGATTTTAATATCCATTTGCCTGAGCAACAATTTCATTTCATCTTTCCTGAGTCTGAATATTGTTGTTGCTTTTTTTTATATTCAAATAGAGAATAAGAATATCGTTAATTTATTTTTATATTCTAACTTTTTTAACACAAGTAAATATGTGGAAATCATGTCCAAACTATTAGAGAGACGAAAGTGTATTTAGTTAATAAAATTTTTCAGATAATAAAACAATTATTTCTTTTTAAAAATATATATTTTTCGATTGCTGATTTACTAAACGTTTTTAGTATAAGTAATTTCATAAAGTTACATTTCTCCTTTCTATTCAAAATCATTTTCTAAGTATGTTGAATGCTCAAACGTAAGACAATGCATTCTCAACATTTTCGTTTGTTGTCTCAATCGTTCATTGATTATAGTATTAAACAATAATCTCTTACATGCTCCATCAGCATTGTTTTAAATAAATTTTTTGCAATTACGAAGAACACACGACAATACATATAAATTATTTTAGTACAAGAAAAGCCATCTGTTACTATGAAATATTCTGTTCGCCCAACGGAATATCGGAATAGTAGAAAGTTCGAACAATGGACGCGTTCGGATATTGAAGGCTCTACTGCATTTTATTTTTTAATGATTTTTCTCTGCCTCGTGCTACGGAAACTTAAAGTAGATACGATACTTCCAATTTTCAATTATTCGTGAAATTCTCCAAATAAACAACAGAGCAAAGCCTCGTTTCGCACCAGAATCGTTCATTGTAATTCATTGTAATTCACAGCAGACGTGTATCTCAAATATGAAATTACGCAGAGTGAAGAAAACGACAAAGGAAACATCATCAGAATCGTTCCACGATTTTCGAATGCCAGGTCGGACAACGTGGCAGAGGAAGCACACGTCAGACAGACACACGCGTCTCCTAATCTATTTAACATCAGATAAAAGATCTCCATAGTTTAACGAAACCAGCAGACATCTAGCATCGTTCCGAATCGTTCGTTCTGCTGAATTATTTCGCCGTGGCCTCGGTAAAAATTCACCGCCGTCGGGCCATGAAATTCTACACTTTACATCGTTGAATTACAATCACTATTTAATACGGCCGCTCGAAACCGCCACGTGAAGCAGGAGCAAAAAAAAAAAAAAAAAAAAAAAAAAGAAAGAAAGAAAGAAAAAAGGAGGAAAGAAAGAAAAAAAAAATGATCGAGAAGAATGGAGAAAAGACAGATGGGAAAGCAGGAGAACAGAAAATTAGAATTAATAAACGGGAAGTTCGCGGATGGATCCCGGGAGGGGGGATCTAAGGATTGTAGGTGACAACTGAAAAGGGGCAGGAAAGTCGGGCCATCAGCCGCGAAATTGGGTCGACTTTGCGAAAACTAATGACGTCCGATTCAAACGTCGCGAGGACGGCGACGACCTTGCTCCGAACGATGAATGGGCGAACGATCGACGAGGGGGGAGACGTTCTTTCCATCGGTCCAAACCGTCAGATCCTGCACACCGGCAGCTCTCTCGCTGGATACAGGCCAAAATACCATCCCTCTGGCTACCCAGTAGCCTCACCAGCGCCCATATTTCATTACATCGATTCCTCGTCACGTGTTTTGCCTACGTGATCGAGCAGCTTTTCGACGAAAACGCCGCCCCGTGGGACGGTGGTTTTGTTTCGATAGTCGACGCCGCCGTGCCGATAAGGCTGACGAGGCTAACGCGCTATCATCGAACGACGCGCTAATGTTAACCGTCGGATCGGTGTCAACTTAATGCCGGTCGATGCCTTTGACGATGGCTACCTAACGCCGACGTAAACGCCGGACGCTTTCCACTATACGCCTTATCTACGGCATTAGGTTTTTCGCTGGTTGGTCTCGTGCCAAGTTCCAACTACGCTTCTTTCTCACCCTTCTTTGCCCGCTAGCCTACCCCAGTCCGCTCAATTTCTGAGGAGATCCGGCCATCTCGTATCTGTAGGATCGTAACCGGCTCGCGCCAACTCTCGCCAATAAGAAACGAGATACGAGAGCTACGACAGAGAAGAGCTGGCCGCGACAGATACGCGCTTTCATTGATTAAAGATGAATAAAGTCGGTCGATCCGTTGGAGGGATTTCTTCGTTCGTGACACCGGATATGTGTATATACACGAGTCATGTGTGTACGTGGATTTGAATATAAATTGAAAAGTATAGAGGTACTTGTAGAAAATACTATCGGCACTGAACATGATTTTTTTTCAGGAGCAGAGATTAATACGTCCGCTGCCTCAAGTTTGCGATATACTTTAAGCAACGAGACGAATGCTTGGTGTTTATAAAATATTACGTTACAGCAAAAATAGAAAGTAGTTCTCTTTTTTTTTTTTTTTTATTTTGATATTCATTTTAGTTTTGAATCATTCTGAGATACTTGTAAGAATAGAAACCCGATCACCGTGGTCGTTGAAATTTGATTTGTTTTTGTTACGCGAATGCATTGCGTTGCAAAGAAAGAATTGTATTTTTAGAAAGTGCTATGTACATGCTACCTCTACAGGGAAAATTAAATCTGCCATTTCATTTAAATGCAAATACTGTAAATGTCGACCCCGTAATTCCCAGTTCAAAATACAAGCCAAAAATTCTATTTATTTTCGAATAGAGTTTATTACTGTAGTATATAAAAATTTAATCTTTGGCACTTGTAGTATTCTCTATGAAAATACTTTTGACGTTCAATAATGTTTATGTCTAATGTTTTCTTTCATGTTCCTAGATTTCAATCAGAGTGGTGCGATCGACAGAAAGGATCTAGATCTCGCTATACAAGTAAGCATTTAGCGTTTTACTGTTTATTCATTTTCGACTTTGTCAATTGAAGAAATACCTAAAGAATAACATTGAAATATTCTTTTACTTAAACGAGCGTATTTTACACTTCAGAAAACAATATCTATAGGGATCTTCTTTACTTCGTTTCAGCGAATCAATGAAAACAGAGGTTGGTCTGCCGACAATCCGAAAGCTCAAAGTATAAGGGATACTTTGCTTAAAATGTGGGATAACTTGAGGCAAGGAGCTGATACAGATCAAGACGGTCAGGTAAAAATATCACTTCAGTACAAAAGTTGCTACTTTCTCCTAATCTTAATTATGTTTTGAGAATTTAGCGCTGGAACTATCGACAATTGAACTGTCAAATTTTTATGAGAAAATTTGAAAAAAATATGAAAAGACTTATAATACAACAAAGACTACAATCTTCTACATTTTACTTTATTTTCTAGTCTTTCTACTCTACATAATATTTCACGAAAAATCAATCAAATTCCCAAAATGGTAAACCTATAAAATCTACAAATTTTTCACGGGAAATTACGAATTTGTCATTTTGTACCATTCTGTATTAATTATTTTTAATTACTTATTCATCTTGTTCGTACTTTAATTATTTATTCATCTCGTTGAATGATTTGAGATTCTTCAAATTGCAACGAAATTTTATTAATGTTTATTCAAAAGGAACAACGAGTGAAAGTACGTTTTCTGAAACGTCTGATTTATACTTTCTGTTTCCCCTATTTATTTCAGGTTAGTCGAGACGAATGGTTTCAACTGTGGGAAGAATACGCGAAAAATCCATCGAATGCATCCGAATGGCAACAGGACTACATGTCTGTGACGTTCCAATTGTTCGATGCATCTGGTAAGTTTATTATGCTTTCCGTTCGCAGAATCATGAAAAAAAAAGCATTGACATGCACTTTTTCCAATACCTTTGGAAGGTTCGTTAAATATTTATGAAAGAATTTGGAAGCCACGTCAAACGGAAACTTTCGAAATAATAAATGATGATCAATACAAAAATATTCGAAGCTTGTTTGCAAAACTTTGCGATATTAAATTTCGAAAATATGTTCTTCATTCACTTCATGTACAAGCTCTCTTTCCATTATTGATCCATTCGTTTTAGATTTACTTATGGAATAGAATTTCTAGAGAAATTCTATTTCGTAGAGCTAAAAATATTTTTATGCAAATTGAAATATATTGTACTTTTATATTTTTAATCCTCGACTAGATGAATGCTAGATCTATTTGGACTGAGCCTTCATTTTTCTATTAATCCTCAATTAATTGTAATTAATTACTTAATTAATTACAATTAAGTACTTCAGAGATCATTACAATTCTTTTACATTGTTAGTTTCATTTTCATTGTGTATATATTATCTTTATTTTGTATTCTTCTATGTTTTATATTATGTTACTTATATTCTTTAACTTTTTTTTTCTTTGTTAGCAAATATAATGTCTTTTTGTAATGTTATTATTAAGTTAGAGCATATCAAATGTCATTCTACTAAATTTTAATTGCACCATACATAGTTTATTCAAAATATGATAGATTTAATCAAAGTTATTTCCATATTATTCAATATATATTTTCATATTTTGTTTTAGTATTCCATATTTGGAAGAATTATTAATTTGAATATTTAAAATGTCTTTAAAGCGAGCTGTTATGATTTCTTGATTATTTCAAGTTTCTTTAAAATAATTTATGAATGAAAAAGGGTTTGATCTTTCCCAGATTTTTTCCCAAATTGAAATTTATAGAATAAAAGCATTTTGATTACAGATCAATATCACAGTAACGAATCATATTTTCACTATGAATTTGTGAATACAGCAGAATCTCCTATATCTAAATTAATATTATTCTAATATAATTACAATATTACTCTAATTCAATTTAATATAAATTCTAATATTATCTAAACTTTTAACAGTGTGTTCAAATTATCAGTATATTTTAATATTTTAAAAAGTTATATATTTTTTTCAATTATTGAACTAGTTGACTTTCTTAACTATAGATAATTTTGTAAAGTTACTTTTTTCTCAAACGAAGTCGAAATCCTTGTTTTCCTTTGCTGTTTCAGTTTGCGGCAAAATTATATCTATGATATCTTTATCAGTCATAAAATGATTTAAGACTAAACATCACCTCTTATATATTCCAATATTATCTCATAATTTAATTCATTCTTTTTGCAATTCTGAAAACCACGTCAAATAAATTGGCACAAGAGAAAACATCTATTATTAATACTGTATTCGCGTAGCAAACTGTTCGGGCACTGAAACGTTCGATTTGGATTATTCGAATACTAGAGACCTTACTAAATTATGAATTATATTTAACGATAGTCAAAAATTTAATAGATAGCTTGTCAAAATTAAACTTAAAAAAAAAACGACATTTCATATGCATCAACCTAATACATTGTACGTAATACATATTAAATCTTTATTACAAAGTCAAACAGACTCTGCATTCTCCATGTGTGGAGCATCCACTATTCAGAGATTAAATAAATAAACCTTACAACGTCACTCAACGTCGCTTATAACATTACGAAACTGACGATTAACCAAGAGATAAACCCTGTTTGTTCATCAGGTGACAAATCGATCGACGAGAACGAATTCTGTAACGTGTGCAGATACCACGGTGTCGCAGAGGCCGAGGCCAGGGAGGCCTTCAAAAAATTAGGAGTCGTAAGTTAAAAATCGCGCGACAGATTTCGCGTAAAGGAAAAAAAAAAAAAAGAAAGAAAGAAACTCGCGGCTGGAACCACTAATTCCATTGAATTTCTTTCTCTTTGTACAGGGACAGGAAATTACCTGGGATAAATTCACCAACCTCTGGAAGCAATATTTCTCCTCGGACGAGCCGACCGCAGCCGGAAACTTTATTTTCGGAAAAACTTCCTTCTAACTCGCTTTGCCCCGCGGAGAGTCGGCGTGCATAAATATATACATATATATATATTACACTTCCTCGCGTCGCAATCTACTATTCATTCTGCTGATTTCTCGCGGTCAGTTTAACCGAGCGCCCGGATAAACGGGGCGAGATCTTTTTGTTCGACAACGAATACAAAATAAAATGCGAACATTTTTAATTTCTTAAAAGCTATCCGAGCGAATTTAATTATCATTTGCACAGAGCAATTTCTCTTTTTCCTTCTATGCTTTTCTTCTCCTTTCTTTTCTTTTTATTTCTTCTCTTTTTTTTTTTCTTATGACGATTGGAAATAATCGTCAACGCGATCCCAAGCTCAGGATGAACAAGAAATGAATACCATTTGGTTCGCGCAGCAGCGAGACTCCTTCCGCCGTTTTGCGAAAACGCTCGCGGCAATTAAAAGTATAATCTCATTGTATGTTTGTATCTGTAGCGTATTTAACTGTAAGAGAAAAAAAAAAAAAAATGAACTATACATAATGATCGTGACCTGTGCAAGCCTCCTTCACGTCCAGTGGAAAGATCGTTGTGCTTTCGAAGTGGTGTAAAAATCGAACGATCGATTTTCGTTCGACTCTAGCAAAAAAGATATCTCCCTCCATTGTTAAACAGACGGTATTTTCAGAGTTTAAAAAAGCGAAACTTGTTCAGAATAAAAGATATCTATATACACATACACAACACGTATACACACACACACACACACACACACACACATGCACACACATACACGCGTACATATATGACAGTTTTCAACGTTGAAAAAACAGATCGACGTGGAACGGTGTTGAAAAAGAGAAGAAAATATAAAGAAAAAGAAAAAAAAAAGAAAACAGAAATGTCTTTGTGTAATCATTGGCAGAAATAAACTAGAGACGGGTTTAATCAAACAAAATGTTGGCTTAATTATCGTGTAAGAAAATTATCGCAGAGATGAAGTGTTATATTTTAAACGAGTTTCAATAAATGTGTTGCCCTAAATGTGTCTTGTATAGACATTATATATGCCGTTATACAGAGGAATAAAAAGGTTCATATGTATACCTACAGAATTATATAGATATATAACGACAGAGTTTTCAATAAATTGTAATTAATGAGGTTTTTAAATTTTAATCGATGTTGACTCGAAGGCGCAGAATCGAAGAATATTAAACAGCCGGTATGTATTTCAGTTTTAAGCCATTTTAATCTTCTATTGCCCGTTCGCTCGATACTACGTTATCCTTCATTAACTTCAACATTTTAAATTAATGGTAAAAAGAATATGTATTCGACATATCCAACGAGATCAAAGCTATAATGCTATGGATCATAATACGATGGGCAGTAGGAGTTTAACGAATTTCAGTAAAATCAGAGATACTGGAATACACGCGTTTGTATTTGTATACAGAGTTTAACCAGAAATTTAATACTTTCATATATTCTGTCTACGTTCACGGTTCGTTAGAGAGATTTTCATTTGAACGAAATTTACGAAAACAAACTAGAAACATGAACATGTGCATGAATATGATTGATAGACGTTTTGTTATATCTTTCGAAACTTTCTTGTGCTTCAAGGTATCGAACAACAACGCGTTGTTTTTCGACTTAATATAGTCTGTCATGTAATTCTGAGTGTACAATAAAAGGAAGTTGAAAACAGTTAACACAGGAATTGATTTCCTCGATTTTTAATTAACAAGAGACAGCTACGGTAAACAATTGAAATATCTATATATATATATTGTTAAAATTTCAACAATTATATTTATAATAAAATTTCATTCGATTTCTTAATCATTGATATAAAATAATTCGTAACAGTTTCTTTCGTCAAGTGTTTAGGAAATTATTTAACAAATGTATGAGCAAAATTCTTTACAACTGAAACTATAATCAGATTTCATGTAAACCAAATGTAAATTAAAATTGTTTTTCAAAATTTTAAACAAGGAGAAAAAGTAACGAATAATGTGAAAACGACAAATTTAAAATTTAAAATTTTTCACTTTATTGAATATTTGCATATTCAATAAAGTTGTCGCGATTTTGTAACCTGTTAATTGGGAGAAACGAATTAATTTTTCATTGAGATTTCAAATACAATAATTTTCACTTCGTTCATAGTGATTAAATCCATCTTTTGAGTTTTAAAAATTTTTTTTAAAAGTGGGAAAGCACTGGATTAAGACGAAACATATATGTACGTGATAATGAAAAACTATTAAGACTAAAAATCCTTGGAATTTCCTTCCAATATCAAAAAATAAAATTTAGTAACGTAACTTGATTGAAGAAAACTGCGAATGAAACATTAGGGTTAACAAATCTTTATGAAATAAAAATAATCTTGATGCAATTAATGACTAATAATAAATGACTCGGTTAATAGATTAAAAAATAAAATAACAAGATTTTATTATCAGTTCAATAAATACACATGACATTTGTACAAATTTGTACAAATATATTAATGATTTATATAGAGTTTATTTAAGTCCTTAATATCCTCTAAAATCATTTTCTTTGAAAACGAAAATTCTAATAAAAAAAAATTATAATACTAAATAATCTATAATAATAAAAGAACAGAATGTATTCATGTTATTCAATCAATAAATTTTTATTGTATTATTAACTTTGTCTTTGGTATCAAATTGATAAGAATCTAATATAATGTGAAGATAAATAGTTAAATTTTCAAATTTTTTTATTAAGATAAGATTCCTATTCTCACATTCAGGTGTTTAATTTTATGCCTATATTATCTTCTTCAATTTTGTCTAACATTATGATTTTTTTTTCTGATTTTTATTTGTTGCAACTACATTCCCATTCATAAATTACCAAACACTTGCTCATTTTGAAGAAAATATTATACTAACATAAATACAATTCTCTTATACGATTTTTTGTGTTAATTTTATTATTCATCTAGTTTAGTTAACGCGAAATTAATAATGCGCGTGTTATTTAAATAAATATTTAAATAATTGGTCAGACGAGAGTTAAAATGACGAATTTATACATAATGAGAAAACCAAATGAAAAATTAATATTTGATTGTATTACTAACCATAAAATATAGCTTTAATAGGTTAATCAAAGACTTCTATAATCACAGAATTAATAATTAATAAGGACAAATTGATTCTCAATGGAAATTATGCGACGCCATAAAAAATAATAGATTCGTAAATAAAAAGAAGTTATATTCGAAAAATAGGAGTCATTTAGCAAAAGTTGAAGAAATTTAAAAACAGAAAATGTTAGAAAATAAATGAAGTTAAAATTATGGTATGGTGTTCGCAATCGCGAAAGATCAGGTCATTTTGAACAATTGTAACTACATTTTAATTTTGTTGAGTGACGTGTGAGAATTTATGTTCAAAATTATAGATACCTCTATAATCCATTTTCGAAAAGGTAATAACATTGAATACATAACTGAAATATAATTATTCGAATAATTATATACTGAAAACGAATATTATGTGCAACTCTGATATAATGCTGAGCATATTTTACTATCAAAAATGTTAAAAATACATGTTATATTCTACAGAAAAATAGATATCACAGAACTTTGTGATCTCTGTGCCGCAAACGTTACGTACAGCAAAATAATACATTTCATAAGAAAAATCTATCAATCTATTGACATAGGGGACGGATAAGGGTTGCATTACAATAAACGCAATTGTTACTGAAATGATATTCGTTACAGACTGCTGCATTAAAAATGAATGAGATGTTGCAGGCAGCCCGAGATTGATTTGTAATGTAATGTAAATCATGTGAAGAAATGGGAGTGGAAATCGCAAGAGACAGAAGGGATATTCAATTTGTACGCCCGTCGTTAGAAAATTCTCGACACGAATTTTACTGTGGTATTGTAAAAATCGCTTTGGCGTTCGTTTTCATCATCAATCACTGCCCGTGCAAATGCGCATGCGAAGTGCTATGAACGTATAAATAGAGTCGGGAACAATCTGTTACGGACGATACATAACGATAAATCCCTGTTGTTTATTACAGCGGTTGCTGTAACGAAAGGGTAAAATCGACAAAAAAAAAAAAAGAGACAAAAGCAATAGGAGTTTAAATGTCACGTTGTTGTCGCGAGTTTTATTGAACAAAAAGGCAACTGTGACCGGCGATTGTCATCAATTCGTGTAACATTGCTGTGCAGCGTTGCATATAGATATTAATGGTGTTAGTGACTGTCTGTGAAACGTGCCGATAACGATACGAGCGGAGTTATGTAAAAGCTAAATGCACGTTAGCTCTTTAAATAAAGATGTCTGTGGACTTCAGCTCTGTGATAAATTATTATTCCCATATACACAGTACATGTACTCTTATATTTCGTTGCTACAATGCTATTAATCTTTCTGACGCGTGGAAAATTGTTTTACGTATTTATTCGTTTAATAAAATTATTTGTTTAATAAATTAATACGAAGAACTAAATTATATTACAAACTGTGTTATAAAATAATTCATATAAAATATTATTATTTCGCATCGGATTATCATTTGGCACCTGATATGTAATAATGAAACGTTATAACACAGTATTAGAATCTATATTGTTAAATACATAGTATATTCGTCGTATGCTTGATTAATTTTATTTAAATTTCACCATTTATTAATGTTTATTTTTTTGTATCATATAATACAGTCAATCCTTCTATAACACGGTTTATTCGTTTCGTGTGCTAAACGAAACTTAAAAAACAGGAACAGTGTAATAGAAAAATATATGCTATATGAAAGTTGTGCTATATATATATATCTCCCATCTATGTTGTAGGAGGTCGTAATTTTTCCACCATGGAATGTAAATGTAAATGGGAATCATGTTTTCAGAAATGTTCTAAAAGGATTGATTGTATCATAAACTAATTCAATTAACATTTTTACGTTAAAGGTAAAAATACACAAATTCTAACTTACGTTGATTGTCTTAGATTGTCATAAATTTACAAACCTTACCTTATTTTTTCCTCTGCACAGCGACCACACATCCTTCCAGTTCATGTTACTGAAACAATTAATGGATGAATAGAAATTATAGAAATTCTAGCTCTCAACCATTCAAATGTTTATAAAATGTACATTTTAACAAACGTTACCTCATTTTTCTCTTTAAACAGCAATATATATTCATTTTGATACGCACTACTAAAGAAAGTAACGGACACGATTACCGCCAAACTGTAACTGAAAAATGACGAAATAGAATGACGAAACGATCAATCGATATTTCAGAATGGTCAGTTCGATTCTCGACTACTTTAACGGTGTACCAGGATTTAAACTGGCAGCACCATCTCATCACGATAGTGTAAAGTATACAAGGTTTCATTTACAGGAAGATTTGAAAACAAGATATGCAGGAAAATTCGGTGAGTAATTGATGTTATTTCAATTAAACCTCATGCTTGTCATTCTGGCGAATAACTAATATTTCTGTGTCATCAATGCATGACCTAATATTTTTAACATTATGTAATGCTCAGTTTCTAACCTCAATGTTTTCCGTCTTGCTTCGAATCACTCGTACTATAGATAATGTTTTAACTACGAAACGGTTTCGTTCGTATCTTATCGCTAATTGTCATCAGATAAACGATAACTTTTACGTACTACCTTCACGGACGAGAGCTCAGTATCAATTAAACTACAGGAAGACTCACTATGGTTGACCCAATCACTACATGCATTGCATATTACACTGAAGCCTTACAGCCTTGCACGATCTTCTATTTACGCAATATTATCTGTCAATGCAAGCTGTAGCTTTAACCAATGTTAGGGTGAATGGTATAGATAAGTGTAGTGAGTGAAAAGTGTATTGCATGATTCTAACGCGTTGATTGTTAGTTTGAAGTTACTGCCCCGTAGTGTGATATAAGTCAAGGCATAATGTAAGTATTATAATTAAGGTTTTATTAGTAAGTTATTAATCATTCTAAAATATCCATGGAGGATTTATGTGCGTGTAAATTTTCTATTATGTTTATTCTCGTATAAAGATTTTTTAGCATATTAAGGAATGAAACTATTATCAAAATTCTAGGTTTCAGAAATTTCACGTTTTCCTAAGCTGACAAAATAGATAAAATAGTAAAATAAACTTTCTGAAATGAAATATAGCATCAAGCTATCACTAACATTTATAATCAATGTTTTTATTTTATTAATGTAGTATATTTTTGTTGATAATTTTTAATTGGATAGTATCAATTATATTTTTTCAAATATATGTTACATATATTTTATATTCTAGAATTTTTTAAAACTTTTTACTAGTTACTTCTTAAAAAATCTTTAAAAATATTAAACGTGTGAAAGAATTTTGAATTCCGAATCAGAGAAATTACTACAATATAAGAAATTACTACATTAAATAGAATAACTTTTTACAGGTTGGATTACAGTGATGAGTTAGATTTACAAAAAGAAGCAAAAGGAGTGGAACAATTTGCCATGACTTCCTTAGGAAGATTAATATTTGTAGATATACATTGTAGGCATCCAAAGTCATTATCTTCAGATAAACCATCTGTAGATTCCTTATCACTTGCTTTTGAAAACCTTTTTTATATGCCATTTGACATTATTGAAAATTATGGTAATACTCTACATACACTGGACATTAGTCATAATAAGTTTAGTAGGTATGTATTATTTATACATGTAATATAACTATTCACGTATAAACTAATGCTCAAGTTTAAGAAACATTTCTATACTCAAAAGTTATAATAAAATATGATTTGTTTCCATGTCACATTTTTAGAAATTTACAATTTTTGGCTGAATTTGAAAATTTAACATCTTTAAACCTAGACCATAATAACATAGATAATCATACAGTGTTTCCACATATGCCAACACTTCAACTTCTGTGGCTAAATCATAATAATGTAGAAGAATTATATCCATTTATTAAGAATCTCCATGAGAGCGTACCCAACCTCAGATATTTATGCCTTATGGGAAACAAGGCAGCACCAAGTTATTTAAATGGTGGTACCTTTTATGACTATCTTCAATACAGGTATGAACATTTAGAGCAATTAGAGAGATATTAATCATGTTAATAATAATGTAGATAACATTATTAGATTGTATGCACTGAATATGCATATTATGTGTATTTTATTTTCATAAATATTTTTATAAAAAAAAAGGTTATACGTCATATCTTGGTTTCCTCATTTGGTACATCTGGATGATAGAACTGTGACTCCAGAACAACGCCAGGAGGCAAAACGGCTTTTCAAGCGACCACTTTTAGAGAATCTAACTGAATATGCTCCTCTTCCAGAATGCATTAAACACCTGCATCACAAAATTGCAAATATATTTTTAAAACCAACACTGCCTTATAAATTAAAATCGAGAGGAACAAACTTTATTGTTTAAGACAGTATTATACTAATGAATATAATCTTGCTTGAAAGTTGTCCACTTTTGTTACGATAAAAAATATTTTTAGAACGATATATACTTTTCGTTATTCACAGAAACAAACACACAGAAGCAACCACATGGGGCAGTAACAAAACAGATATATTGTGTAATTTAACAAACTGTGTACAGAATTATATTATCATATTAATTTTTTTTTCGTACTTTGGATATAATAATTTTACAATACAATTTTATAATACACACGATAATTTTTATTAATTAATAAAACTGAATTACAATTCAGCAGTAACATTGTTAATTTTGCAATAATTTTTTATAAATATTATGTGTTATATACTTGTATGTATTTATTCAGAAATATTTTATACTAATGGTGATGATGAATAAAAATAAATGATTTTTTGATTAATAGTTTTATATTTATCCCAGTTTTTTATTTTTAAAAATAATTTCCTAATTTTTTTAACAATTTAATTTGTTTCGTATCTTTATTTCATCTTTATTTTACTTTTTACTTTCAGATATTAATATTACAATATGATATTGTCTTAATTTATTATTTTTTGCGATAATACGAAATAGTGTATTTACATAAACTTAAACCTTGTTTTTATTTACATTTATCGTAAACATAATTCTTTTCTTATCGAAAGATGATTAGAATATCGGAGAAACAACAGATCTTTTGTACACAATTTCGGATCGCTTTATTTGGAAAAAATTGAATTCTAAATTTACGTTTTAACAAATATAAAAGTCTCTGTGAGAGACTTTCCTATTTCCAGTTTTTAAAAATATATTGATAAAACGTTTCGAACTTCTGATACAAATCTACAATATCTTATATTTTATCGCATAATATAATTAATATTACGATTAAACAAGTGCAAACAATTATTATCAGATATTCCACTTTTCAAACGTTGTATATTTCGATTAAAGTTTTAATTTCACAAAGCTTTTTTGATGATGAAAGATTCTACCAATTTCTGATATATTTCTTTGATATATTGATCTCCTTATCTGTGAAATAATTTGTAAGTGACGATATTGAATTATATTTTCATTGTATTTGACAAATAAGTAAAACAATAAATACTAATAAGAAGATAGTAGGAATTGACGAATCAATTCTAATAATTTCAAATATTATTTATTTCTAACGTTATATAAAATTTTATGTTTTATTCGAAGTGATGTAATATCTTTGTAAGAATTTTGTTTTAGAATTTTTTGATTCTAAACAAAACAACCCTTTGAGTGCGATCATTTTGATTCGATATTCATTCCTTAATAGGAAACGTTGTTCAGACGGTCGTAAACATATGTAAGATAAGAAAGTTTATTGAACGTGTTGGGATAAGTCGTAAATTCCATTTTATGCTAGAACATATTGCAAATAAACGGTGGCTTGATAAAGCACGTAGTAATATCATGTGACAAATTAAAATATTGTAACTTCAACAAATCACGGTTTCTCCTCTTCCCTTATGATAATGTCTTTCTAAGACATTTCTCCTCTAATAATGTTGTAATTATTATTATATTCTACTCATCATTTGCGACTATGTATCGATACATTCAAATTTTTCATAAAATTTATAAATAAATTAAAGATAAAATACATTAATATTGTAATATCAATATTATTAATATTGTAACGTTAAGGAATTTCAAATACTTTTAAACAGTTAATATATTTAATTTAATTATTTAACAATTAATATGTTATTTTCTTAAAGAAAAAAAAAAATATTTGAAATATAATCTCGAACTATATCAAGTCTTTTTTGAAAGCTATTTTCATCTTAAGTTTAATTTCTTATCTATCGTCGATACCGATATTTGTATGATATCGTCAATTGTTTCAGCGATTACGAACGGGAACCATTGGTGTTACAAGATATGTCAGTTCATTATTTGCAAACGTTATTGGAAAATGTCAATCTCACGAAGATTACAACCAGGTAAGATCACGCATGTTTTCTCTCTTAAGTCTACTGTCTATCATATCTAAATGATTCATGTTTAATCAGTTTTATTCTTTTAAATTTAATTGAGATGTTACACAAAATGAATTTTTGTTCAATATTGAAAGAATATTGAAATTTTTAATTTTTTTCAATATACTGTGATACACGTATGTGTGTATATATATATATATATATATATATATATATATATATATATATATATACTATTTTTTATAATAACATATAATATTTATAAATAAAAGTATTACGTAACATTAAAGTGTATTATATATTTTATTGTATACTTGCACTGTGCTTTTTCCCTTCTAAATCGTCCATTTTTTTTTTAAGTTTTTAATTCAGGAGAGTTTTGAAAATAGATAACATTAAAGTTCGAGCTGAATAATCTAATTTATTAACAATATTATGTAAAGCACAATTTGTATATTTACAAAAACTTTTATTTTAAGAAATTGTCAATTACCATTATTTTAAAATTATTTTTTCTAGTTATTTGTAAAGAAAGACAAAGATTAAACTAATTTATTTCCAATTAAATAAAATTACATTTGTAAAAATCTACGGACAAGTGTTGCAATCAATATCGCTCAATTTTTCAATGACGAGAGAAAAAACTTAGAGATAAACTTCAATTTTCTCTTTTAAATCATAAATTTCCATCTTCTTTCTACATTTGCTACTTATATTTTTAATCAACAAATATATGTTATTTCTTGCAATAATCTTCAATTATTATTTCTCCAATTATTATTACTTTCTCAATTATAATGATTAATTTATTATTTACAGTAGAGCATATTATTTGAAATATTTATTTAAAATATTATTATTCGGACAAGTCTAACATTTCATTCAGGTCTGCTTTACGTTAATAATTATCAAAATTGTGTTTAATAAATTGATATTTGGCATCACTTGATATGTGGTAATGGCAATTCTACGGGGGGGAAAATAGATTTTTATCTCTTAAAAAACGGAAATGTAGATTTCTCATGATTCCCCAGTTCCGGAGCGAAATCTTTCCACAATAAAAGATTTACGGATGGAATGTTGTCGCAGCTCATAATAGGATTACTGAAATGAACGAAAAACTTTACTCGGATGGTATAGTTAATAAACTATAAGGTATATCGTTATAAAGAAATGAAAGGCTTACGAAGAATCGACTTTTTTGAATCCTTGTTTCTGCATATTTACGATGTCATCGCCATTATCACAGAGTAGTCTGGATATGCTGGATTTTCGAATTTCATTCAATTGCTCTGCAAAAGCACAGAAGTCGTACAATCTATCTATTCCATCGTATCTATCTATTTACCAAATTATCAATTTCAATATTTTGTTAAAATTATAAAAATCTGAACTACCTATATGGGATAAAATTTGTCATTTTATTTCATATATGGTAAATTTACTAAAATGACATAAAAAAATGTTGAAAATAATGGTCCTAATTCAACGAGCAGGAGTTGTAGCTAAAATTTTACTTGAAAACTCTAATTTACTATCAATTCTGTAATAGTCAAATTGAAGAAAACATAAGGTGTTTACCTATAGTGAACGCTAATTTGTGGTCACCACTTTCGAACCAATAACGATCGCCCACTCGTGTTCGATAGAATTGCTTAATAAAAATACACAAGTACGTAGGACCTGTAAGTCCTTGGACATGAGTTTCTAATGCTCCCCCGACAGCTAAATCGACGTCATCAGGACTGGCATACAAACTGGCCAACTTCTTTACGTTCTACGAACAAAGTAATACATATCATAAAGATAATGTCGATTATCATTGTAAATTTTTATTCGATTTACGACTTATCACAGCTCCATTATGTAATATATTTGTAATTCATCGTGGACTTCTATTTGATTACACAAGGAAAATGCAAAGAAATGGCATGAAATCCTATACTATAATGTTATTATTATTTATTATCGACAATTTTGTATCTTCTTCTTGGAAAGTATTTAAAATTTCTCACATTAACGTTCGGACGCAGCCATTGAGACACTGAATATTAAAACCGTAAAACAAGATCATACAGCAACAAACCTGAATTCATTTTAAAACGTGAAATCTCTATGTTCAAAATACATCGTTCAAAAATGAAGATACTTTTCTTCTCCAGATGTTATAAATTGTCATAGTATGTAAAAATATTGAAAAACTTTCTCAATAACTGAATCTACAATGGATTCGAAGATCGAAGCCTCCCCTTTACAAATGACTTCTTAAAACTTGCATTTTTTATTTTTCTATTTTTTTCCCCCCATTTTATTGAACTTCGAATATATGTATTGTAACAATTTAAATATTTAACTGTCCCAATATTAATTTTGAGCAACTGTACTTACCTCGAAGGAAATGTAATCTGTGAAGTCGTCGAAATCGGTCGCCCTCGGTAGACCGCAATGTTCACGAACGTCGTTGTACGATGCGAGACCGTGATCGCGATCCCTATGAATATCAGTCGCACGAAGATCAGACCCCAGTGGTTTTCCGTTTCTGAATAAGTATCGCGTAATCTGCAATATATAAAAATCCAAGAATTTGACTCAATTTAAACTCTTCGCGAATAAGCATATTATCATACATATCGTGGATAGGAATAGAAAAAGAAAAAAAAGTAGGAAAGCTAAGTCATTCATACTTTTTACTTTTTATAAAATTTTTTATTATATTACACCATCAATTTTTAAGTCAAATCTTTGCGAATTTTTCCAACAAGACTAAAAAAGTTTGCTTTGGAAAAATTTCGCTCGAGGTGTAAACGAACTATGAAAGGTTGTCTACGAACGTTTCGTATAAACTCGTACCTCTGCGTCAAAGAATTGATCGCTGGCTTTTTCTGACTGAAAAGACATGCCTCTCGTCAAATCGGCCATATTGTCGTTTTCCTCGATAATTGACGGTTTGTTCATGTAAGTGCTGAGCCTCAAGGCAGCGTTTGAAGATCGATCTTCCTTCGCCAAGCTAAAGTTCGCGAAATAGATGAAAACAACATTTACATCGACATTTAAATATTTGTTACGTATTCTAATAGAGATTCTCAAGGGAAATGTATCTGATTATTATTATCTAAAAATGTTTTGCGTGGATGATGAATTAATTCATTATAGAACTTCAAAGATTTCAATAGAAAGAAAAATAAAAAATTTGGACCGTTTTTGATAAATTTGGACTTTTATATAAGAATCGCAATATATGGCTTAAACTTAAATTTACTTAGGAATTCAAATCATGTAGTATTAATGTACGTTTAAATATTGAAAATTAGTATTTTCTAATTTCGGTTGAAATAAATACTTAATTGTCTAAATTAAATTGATATATTCACGAATCTGCTGTAAACTTTATAGAAGATAACATTTTTATCTTTCTTGCTCACCATCAATGTTAGAACGTTCTGATTGAGTTCTTAGTTTGTTGTTAAATTTGATCTATTACAATCTCGTGTAAATTTCTTCTCGATCGTTTTCATTGTTTTAATGAATTTATTTTGTTATACTGACTGTTACAAAGTACGACTGTACTTACTCGAGGAAACCAGCGATAAGAGAATGGAAATATCTGAAAGCAGCGGTCGCGTGCTCATTGAAAACATTTGGATTTACGTCTGGATCGTAATCGTTCACGTAATCGGTAGTATCGTATAAAATGTTGTTGCCATATGTGCTGCTTGTACCTAAAAGTACGATATACTGTATTTATATTAATTATATTATCATAAACAAGCTACGACACAACGTGATGTTCATCTATAATTTAATGAAGTTAAAATTTCACCCAAAAATATCGGCAGCCATTCGTAATACGAAATGTGTTGATGTTCTGCGATCGCAATACGCCGTGCTTCTTGGAAAATTGTCTCATCCGTCCAATGAGGATTAATACGAGCTAAAGCATCGGCAATGCGATTATGCTCTCTAAGTAGTATAATTTGCAAAACAGTCAGCTGAGTATTTTGATTGACACGAACGTCGCCTGAAATAACAATTGAAACGCGTACGTGAATCTCGCGAACAGTCGATTGTAATTCACATCGAAGTTTTCATTATATCTATGATACTTTGAGATTATCTTTAGATACTAAATCTAATATAACGATAAAAATACAGATAATTATAATTATAATTAATTATTTCACTTTTATTGTACTTTGTATTAATATTTTTATTTTACTTTTATTTTACTTTGTATTAATATTTTTATTTTACTTTTATTTTACTTTGTATTAATATTTTTATTTTACTTTTATATTACTTTGTATTATTATGTTATACATGACTCAATGTTGGTTTGACAAGTTGATTGTTTTTAGAAACAAAAGTAATTTAATTTTACATAGAAATTTGTTTCATCTACTACGTATTAGTGCTCCACTTTGAATATTTTATACATTTTTACATGTTTTATGCGTTTTGTGGATTTTTTGACACTTGAAGTAAGTCTGATGAAAGGGCGCTTATTGCGAGCAGAATATTTTAATATACGTTCAGTTACGATAGAAAAGAAATAATAATAAGAATAGTGAGGAGAAATTCTTTTTAAAAAATGATTTACCATATTTTGAAATCAATTTAAATTTAAATTTGCCTTATAAAATTTTAATTTTGCTGCGTTCTTTCGGTCTTTTCAAATTCCCTCACTAAAATTCTCTGAAATTAAAAAATATCTCAAGCTTAAAAAGAATGTGAAGTTCTCAATTAGCATGCTTTATTTTATATTAAATATTTTCTAAACATATAATAAATCTGATTAGTAAATCTAGACCGAAATACAAAGACTCATAGATCGTTAAATTTGATAAAGAAAATGTGTACTTTGTTTCAAAAAGAATTAACGTACTAGCGTATTAACGTAATCTAAAGCAATTATTACTTGGGAAAAGAATTTAAAGTAACTACACAAAGTTATACTATAACAAAGTTCAGTCAAACTTTCCAACGCAGTAAAGAGGAAGAACATTTCGTGAATCTGAAAAATTTAATAAACGACATCAGTCTCCATTGTAGAGGAAGATATTTTAACTAATGTAATAATTCCATTGATATAGGTACTTTTGAAACAGTATTCAGTGATCATTGAATAATAATTACTTTCACTAAGAATGCATTGATTGTTGTGAATTATGAACTTACCAACACTGTTAATTTGAAAATGATTAATAGTTTCTGCACCTTAATTGTTAGATATTTATAATTTCGAGATAAGTTTATTATCGCGCTGCGATAACACACGTGCATTATATGTATATCTTTCCTATTATATCTTTCCTTTACCTATGCTCAGTTAACGAGTATAAGTTTTTTTTATCTTCGTGAAATATCTTACATCAAAATGGTGCCAAGTCGTTTAAAACTGGAAATCATTAATAGTTTAATGATACTTTAATACATTACACGTTACGTTCAACGGTCAATGATAATAACCTGTTTAAGCAGCTAGCATAAAAGAAACAAGCGATACGTGGGTCGTGATACTTTTCATCTGAATTATGCAAAAACATGCGAAAGTGGCGTGGCACGGAATGTGGTAATTCGAGATAGTTTAATTTTTCTTTTTTGCTACGTAAACAACGAATTCGATCACGTAATGTTTTAAGCATTACTCAGGAATAATTAGAATAATATTGTAAATACGTTGTGTACTCGTAAACGGAATTTGAATTAAATTATAACGAAACACGATGAAATTGATTTTTCTCTTTAAACTACTAGTTTCATTACTATATATTTTTTTTTATGAAATCGGTATTTTTATTAAATTAATTTTACGCACGTAAAAATGAATTTACCAAAATCATCGATGAAACAAAAAAACTTGAACATTCGTACTTTGAAAAACAATACTTTCGTTTTTTTTTCTGAATATTCGCCACTGTATAAAAAGTCGCGATTTCTTTCGAGAGAGTGTTTTACAGGAAAAAGAAATTGTTCCATCGTATGAGCTACCTTTGTGCAAAATTATATTTTCCAATTCGAACTTCCCTTGTAAACAGTACGTTTCTTTTTCTGAATATTTCGATTTTAAATTCAAGGGAAAAATATATCTATTATATTATATATTTCTGTTAACTTTATTATATTTTCATTAACTGTTTCGCAATTGGTCTTCCGTATTCGAACGAATCGTCGCCTCCGTCCAAAGATTCTTCTTAATAACCATTCCAATATTCCCGTTTATTAGCTAATACTTGAGCGTTCTCTAGAATTATATTGCGGCAACATGATTTCATCAATGCTTACCAGCCTGATAGCAAACTTCGTTGGGACTTGTGATATCGCACGTTGTAGACTTATTGGCTGCCGAAGGTGGCCATTCTCTGTTTCGTCGTATATCGATGGCCATGCGCCCACCGACACCAGCTCTCAAATTATTCGCCAACTGGTCGGAGGACCCGTAAACCAGAGAGAGGTCCAAGAAATGTGTCACGTCGTTCAACTGGAAAATTTATTTTACAAGACTGAAATCCCACGGTAGAAATGAATTTTCTACGAAAGGAAAAATTCGAAGTTTCCTTAACGCACTATATTTGTGACACATTTCATTACAACTAATTGGACATCTAGTGCAATTCTTGATATTCTTTAATGGTATTGGCAAACAGTTTTCCGCATTTGCAAGTTTCATTTTTAATAAATAGTCGAAGCTAGAATTTTCTACAATGAACGAAATTCTAAAATTTCAACAACGAACAAATTACTCTGCAGGGTCTTTAGCCATTTAATTATTATAATATTATTTATTCTTTCTATCAATATCTATTTACTATTAACTAATATTAGTTTTATTATAATATTATTAATAGTATTATTGAAATATTATTTATTCTTTCTATCAATATCTATTTACTATTAACTAATATTAGTTTTATTATAATATTATTAATATTAGTATTTTTTATTAATATTATTAATATTAGTATTATTGTAATATTATTTATTCTTTCTATCAATATCTATTTACTATTAACTAATATTAGTTTTATTATAATATTATTTATAGTATTATTTATACTTTTATATAATATTATTAATAGTATTAGTATAATATTATTTATTCTTTCTATCAATATCTATTTACTATTAACTAATATTAGTTTTATTATAATATTATTAATAGTATTATTGTAATATTATTTATTCTTTCTATCAATATCTATTTACTATTAACTAATATTAGTTTTATTATAATATTATTTATAGTATTATTTATAGTTTTATGTAATATTATTAATAATATTATAATATTATTTATAGTATTATTTATAGTTTTATATAATATTATTAATAGTATTATTATAATATTATTTATTCTTTCTATCAATATCTACTTACTATTAACTAATATCTATAACTGAAATTATTAAGTAAATTATTATTAAATAATTAATTAATTAGAGAGAAAAGTTAAGATTAACTTAGAATTTATTTGAATTGTATTTTATATTGCAATAATTTAAAAGTGTCATTTATAGACGACAATAAAGATAATTGATATCGTAGCTATTTTGTTTATTTCAATTATAAACATTCATTTTCATAAATTTCATATCTTGTTAAATCCACTTTGTTTCTTATTATAAAAGAATTCAATTATTCTATTTGCAAACGAATTTATACGAATTTAACATGAATGAACGAATTTAACATCTTTACGCAGATTTGCATTCTCATCAACATAATTAGAGAAATAAAAATTTGTTTAAAATATTATAGCAGATGTTCTGCTTCCTATATGATACATTTTAGTTTATTATTGTTATAATTGTTATATAAAAGAATATTTAGAATAAAATTGCTTTATGTTACGTTGAATTTAAGAAACTTAATGTAACTTTTGTATCCGAGGAAACAATAACAAAAGAAATTAATCGTTATATTGCACGATACCCTTAACATCATACTTTTATTCGAAGTATCTTTTTATGGAACAAAATGAGAAAAAGTTCATTTTATTCATCAGATATCACACCGCAGATATAAGTTATCGAAAGTGGAGTTAGAGAGTAACTTGTAGACTGTGTGATGCATTGGCAATCGATAAGATATGATTGTTACGTCCGTTCGAGTATAGATAACCAAATAATGCTTTCACGTCCATGTTTATGCGAACTCATTGCATTTCTCAACATTTGCACGAGTGCATTGCACGTCGTGTCGCGTTCTTGGGGATCACTCTCGACACTCGTGGTATTTTAACAAATAAACGTCTAAGTTTAGATGCATTAAAGGAAACGGCAAACCTGTTCTGCTGGTTTGAATGAAAATGTATAATCATTGTCAAGGTCGGTTGCACTACGAACGAAATTGAGACATCTTATGTTGGCTTCGCTGTAGACGGGATCGGCGTACGGTGTAATTATGGGATAACATGAGTCACGAGATAGCATCTGTTCTATCACCTGCCCATCATCGGTACAGCATTGCGTAGCATGCGGCGCTGATTGCATGAAAAAATAACGAAAGACCAGTTGAAGACAGATCGATATAATTCCGATATACTTTGATCATTTTTATTTGTGGATGGGACACAGGAAAATTCCATTTACGTGAATTTAACGAGGAGTTAAGTAGTACGTGTGTGTAAAAAAAATATTTGTACACCTGATGAGAAATGTGATAATTTTACGTTGAAATTTTCATAACTGAGTTTGGAATGCAACGATGCCTTGAAATTTTCCCCACAAATGTAACTTTCACGAAGTGATATCAAAATTGAATAATAAACTAGGACACATCATTATATTAATTTAAGAATAAAATTTTTATAATTAAACGTTGAATCATTAAAATAAAGTAATATGGCGGCCTTTTAATCTTTTTAGGGAAATTTGTTATTTAATTTGATAATCCACGATAAGATATACTTAAATTATATTTATGTATTGTTATTAAAATTTTAAAAATAAGAATTAATTATAGATAAAAGTTTTATAAAATGATCGACAATTTCTCATCGAGCTATTGCTTTCAAATATTTCAAAATGTTTTTTGGACATGTGCTATTCTTCAATTCACTGATTCAACTGGAGTTCATATAATAGGTTCCCATTATACGATGTTACAATAGGTTTCTGAAAATTTCGACTTTTTCGAATAAAAGCACTGAAAAATTTTGTTGGTTTTATGGACCGTATTCTATTCCAGTTCATTTGAAAATTGCATTCGTGTGAAATTATTTGCTTGCATGTCTGTAACCCGTTGTTTAAATTGCTAATAATTTAATTAATAATTATCAAGTAATAATTAAAGGTCAACGTGTCAGGTCAACCACCAGTGATGTTTCTTTTATGTTATTAGAAATTTACGTTCAAACAGATGAATGCAAGAAAATTCGTTTAATCTGGATTGATCAAAAATTTAGTTATTTAACACAAATGAAATTTATATAAACAAAGTTATGTTATAAAATCTATTTAGTAACATAATACTGTAATAATTCTATTTTCTCTCTTTCTCTTTTTGTACTTTAACTTCATATTGAAATGTAAATGTAATTCAGTTGCAAAGTTTCATGCGTGTGTGTATATTTGCGTTTTAAAAGTCAGAAAGTTGTAAGTCAAGAGAGTTAAATTACAAACTCGTTTCACGTATTGACGTAAAATACTAGATGCACTCAAAGCGTGACATTTAATTTGAAACTGGTTCTAGGAACGACCTAAATCTGAGAATTCTTACACATTAATTCATATTTTTGGAGGTGATTTATTTAAATAAAACACCTTGAGAACACTTAGCTAGTAGTTGGCAAATTTAAACATAGGATATTAGGTTAGTCAAACGTCAAAGTTGTATTCCAATTGTACGAAGAGTTTAGAAATCAAATAGTACAAGTCACTCGTTATCAAATAAATAACCTTTCGTTGAAAAAAAATCTTCATTACGATATAATAATTGGACAATTTAATAATTCTAAATCCTATGTTAATGAAACGAATAAATAATATTCGAAAATAAATAATTCTAACCTAGTACAAAAGATAATTCTAAATAATACTATATATGTATATCCATCTCAAATATTTTCAATAGTATATGTTCAAGAAAAAATGTGTTTTATAGAGAAATTGCACGGATTTTTTAAAAATATTTAATAATTATATCTAAATAATTTCGATTTTTTACGCGAAATACGTATCTCTTTGTATTGAAAAATATTTGCATTAAGTTTAATTCATCCCAAATATAATAGCAAAATATTTAAATTTAATCTAATACATAATATTTAAATACAATAAATAGCGAAATAGTTGTTTATTTTCTCGCTATTTACACCAGAAAAATACCAAGATTAAATATCGCATGGTCTTCGTATGAAATATTTTTCCGTAGAACACACTTTCAAAACTATTACGTGACGCACTCTGAATGATCATATGTACCATTCAGAAGTCATATTTCGCAAACTGAAAAGTATGAAAAAGCATAAAAATGACATTAAAGTTACTATTTTCTAAATTCAACTTAGAATTTTTTTACTTATGTCATTTTCATGCGACGAATAAACTAATTTCTTAATAAAAATAATTTCTTTCTCAAGGAACGAATATTAAACCCCTAATAAAAATTAGACTCAATCAGTTTAACAATCACATCGCAATGTCTGTTTTATTGAAGATTGAAGAGAAGAACATTTGCATGTCACCAGTTTTTGATTTTAATTAAAAGTTTAATTGCCTCCTCAATTGTGGAAACAAAAAATGGACGAACGATCGTAGAAATAATTAATATAAGAAAAGAAGAGTGATACATTACACGATTGGGAATTGCCAGCTGCCAAAGACATGTCGTGGGTGATAATTTGTCCATATTGCATCGCTACCAGTGTCCATATAGGATCATCGACGTCGTTATCGGGAAATAACGTATAACTGACCAGTCGAGAGAGTGGCAATTCGCTTCCAGTTACTGATTTTGGTGGCGAGTTTATTCCTGTAGAAAAATTGAATGTTTAATAGCGACTGTGGCAGTCACAAGCCTCGTGTATTTTTTTATGACACAAGAAATATAAAAGAAAGTAACACCGAGAGAGAATTGACTTTTCTTCAAAAGTCATAAAAATGTACTTTGACGATTATCATTAAATATCAATAATATTTCTGATTAATTTCTAGTAAATGGAACGCTCCAGTAAATTGTACCGAGTGTTTTAATTGAATTTTATGTTTATCAAAGTTAACAGAGTTGCAGGAAATTTTGTAAATTCAATCTTACTAGCGATATGTACATTCGAGTTAAACATTAATCAACTTAAAGGTAGTTATTAAAATACTGTCATTCATTGGAGAAAATATAGTTAATTATTTTCTTAGTCTCGTAATTGTTATTGCCAATGAAATTATAAAGAAACATCAAATTTTTTTAACATTACAGGGATCCAAACATGTTTTAAAAGATTAAAGGTATTTTTTCTCGAAATTGACTTTTGCAGGGCGTCAACAATAACAATTATAACAACAGATAGAGTACTAAATGAAATTATAAACAATTATGTTGCCAAATGTTAGGATTATGTGTCGTTAGTAAAATCGACCGTACGTTTCATCGAATTGAAATTTATATAATTTTTAATTGACAATCATTCTTGACATTTTTATATCCAATTTAAGTGAACGCGACATGTCTCTTTAATAATTTAATAATTTAATAATTTTAATAATAATTTGTGATAATATTTTTCAAAATTTAATACAGTATATTATATCGTCGATATTATATGAAACAAAATATAATTGTATGTAATATTTTTCAAATTTCTTAGAAGAAATGTGTAGTATATTTCAAAATATTTATAATTAAATTTAGAATATTTATACTAAATTAATAATTAATAATTAATAACTAAATTTAGAATATTTATACTAAATTAATAATTAATAACTAAATTTAAAATATTTATACTTCATAATTAATAATTAATAACTAAATTTAGAATATTTATACTAAATTTATATTTAGAATACTATTTAGATAAATAGATCCATGAAAGTAGAAAAATCGAAGAATTCACGAGAACGTGCATTTAGAATGTGTCGTAACCATCGCAGGTGTAGCAAATTCTTTTTCCCTTCGACACGAATGAAATCAGAAAATTGCTATGTATTCACATTCGCGTGAATAACGCAAATTACGTCGATTTTGATCCGTTTCTACAAAGTCGAACAAATTGCAAAACTTGTTTGTCACGGAATCACCGTTTATTGTATAATAAACCGAGATGCGGCCCATTCGTCATTCTTGCATCGGTATTTCCACTGCATCACGATTTGATATTTCCCCATTCGCCGACTGAGAATGTTAAAAAATGTCATCATCAAAGGTTAATATCATTAACGCGTGTAAAATCCTTTAAGCTATTTTTAGTCGATTTTAGTTGCGTAAGAAATATCGTTGTTGAAGTGAAGTTTGAATTCTAAGAAAAGAGAACATGCCACTCATTGAATTCTATTCTGTGCTTGAGAACGAACAAATACGAAAGAGGAAGAAATTTGCATAATGCACGTGATCTTTAATGCAACAGGCAGTTGTCATTATCTTAGAATCGGTGTGACAAAATTTAAACTAACAAAATTTGGACTGGGAGATCTACAAACTCTTAGAAAGTTTGGTCCAATTTTTAACTAACCCATTATTTCGTAATTTTGTGATCTTTATTCAGCAAAAACTTGCATGGTATAATTATGGAAATTATCAAGGTTAGACTCAATTTAAACTAAAATTGTTGAATAATATTGATCGAGAGAGACTACAGAAAATTTTAAATCATATTATATTACTCACTGTTAAATTATTACTTGTTACTTATTAAATTCATTAAATTATCTACTACTCATTGTTAAGATAGTGTTAATTATACTATTTACTATTAAATAGACCAAGTATCAAATAATATTAAATATTAATAATCGTAAAATAAAAACACGAAATGAAATATGCAATGAGAGTAGAACTACTCTTTTTTTAATTAATATCTCCAAACTTATTCAATTTCAGGTTATTAGTATTTTCCAATATCAGGTTTTGTAATTGACATCTATAAAATGTCCAAAACACTTTATTCTTTTATTCGAAGTATTAAAAATTTCACAGACATACGTACAGATTTCTGTATGTAACTACATCAAAACTTTCGTGTTTTAAATATTAAAATGTTCCATTTTTCAATCCCTGCATAATTGCTGACTCAAGATTGTATTTTAAACTAAATTTAACCTATGTTTATGAATAAAATTGCCCCGCTTGATGCAACAGATAATTATCTCTTATCATTAGCGAAGAATCAGAAAATGGCTTTTACTCGACATCCGTACATTTATAAAAACAAAAATGGTACCTTAGAATTTATCTTTGTGTCTGAGAAAACTTTGCAGAAATTTCTTTGAACATCTAACTGTTCGTTTAACTGTACGACTGAAACTGAGAGATCTAGAATCTTGCACAATGATTGAAAATCATGTGTGATGATTTGAAATGGCAACTTAATATCGACGCTGATGAATAGATGGCACGTGTCGTGCGTTAGTGGTTTTTACATAACGTTGACTGATCAAGCATGTGTACGAAGCTGTTCGAGTCGATTATGAATCTGATTTCGCGTGTGCGTTTCATCGGCACAGGTAGATAAGGCAGCGAGTCAAGCATTCGGTCAATTGAAACTGAAATTATGCTTGCACGTGTTCAAGTCTGTCAGGAACGAAACGAAAGGGTTGCGGTAAGATTCCAAGAAAGTTGCAGAACGGTTCGCGGGTATCGGCACAACGTTGCGAAGTTTATAAACTAAAAGGAGAGAACTAGTTCCTACGTGCACGTGTAAATCACGTCTGGTCTCCGTTGAAATTGGGACAAGTTCTCTGTGAAAGTCGGCATTTGTCGTGAAAGACGCTAACTGTGCGAAACAACAGAGAGAGTTTTACGATCCTTTGTCCATCAATTATCACCGAAAGAATAGAGAAATAGGACCAAAACGCGATATTTCTGTGGTATTTCTATTTTTGGTCAGGCAGCAAATTGTTACACATTCAGATTCTTAGTAATTTTCATTAAGAATAACAGTTTATCACTAGATTTGAATTTTGTGCATTTATGGAAAACTTTCAAGTTCGAAAATTCCAAGAAATACACGAATAAAATATCGAGAATACAGTGCTCTTTATAACATTTACTGTTTAAATATGAATTTGCTGTTTGTTATATCAGAATATGAAAAATATTTAAGTTTCTTTTTATTTTGTACTTTTATTCAATTGTGGCTGGGAGAAATAATGCTGAAAAGGATAATTCCTAGAGTTCGTAACTAGCGTTGAAAAATAAATATTGCTCCTTAAAGAATTAATATTTGAACACAAAGATTTTTCACTGCTCTATATATTCGTTTATAATATCTTTATTGCGAATTTATTATTTATTATTATATTAAATTTAATAATATTTATTACTGATTATTTTAACAGATCATTGCTGTTAGTAGAAGCATCAATTGTATTTTATTTATTTACACTATATTTTATTCCATACAAGTAGTGTTTTGCGTAGAAAAATTAAATAATAACGAAATTTAAGATCGCAGAAAAAAATTCGGATAATAAACAAGTTACATCACATTTGGTCCAACGAAATTTATATAATATAATATTATGTGTAATATTTATATAATATAATATTATTAATATAATATTATGTGTATACGTATTATCATTATCATCATTTCAAATTTCACCATTGTTAAACAAAAATTTATAAAAATTAATAAAAAAATTATATAGATAATATTATCTAGAATAATAAAAAAATTTGTTTTTATTATCTAGAATAATTATTTTACTATATTGAGAAACAATTAATTTAGAAAACTGTTATAAATAAATATTGATATAGTGCTCATTAATAAGTAATATATTAACATTTTTAATAAAAAATTCTTCAATAATAAAAGTTAATAAGAAAAAAGCATCAGTTGTTAATATAATACAAAAATTAATATAATATACAAAATACAGACATAATAATAAAAATTAAATATATAACACAAAAAAAGAGTCTCTTTTAAAACAATTAAAAGCGCGGATGAAGCAATATCTATACTTTTTCAGCTTCGTAATTTTATCGAAACATAGATATTAACAACTAAGATAACCGAGAGAAACGAAACAATCATCACCTAATGATCTAATTTGTTGAAGAAGTTAATTACTTCGATAATGTACAACGATTTTGAAATCAAAATGAGAACCGGAGTAAATTACTTGTGATCTTATCTTGATTTTCTTGCCAATACCATTACCACCAATCATCACATAATTACGTGCTACAGTTTTGCAAGATATTAGAAAACTCTGTGGTTATCTGACGTACATTATTTTTGCATTTATTATTATTTATTGCGTTGCATTATTTTTTTGCTACCCTGTTTTTATTACTGTATTCTGCGTCATACCTGCTTCTGCATATGAAAGGTGTGCATGTTTATCTAAAATCTCACGTTTCATATCCGAGCAGACGTTTATGCGTGTTTCTTTATCTGTACGGACACGTTACTTGAAAAATAATCGACGTTTCCTGACAAATGTGAACGATACATTTTACGAAAACAAAATTGTATTAATATTATCGTTTTACAAAACTGCTGACCTTGCAGGAAATGTTGATCGAATTTTGGATTTCTGCAAAATCGTATTTTTGTGAATACAGTTAAAAATGTACCAAATAAATAATAATAATCGATTACTGAAGAATAAGTATATTCTTTGCATATAATATATTTATATTTAATATATATTTTTTTAAATATATTTCTTTGCATATAATATATTTTATATTTAATATATTTAAAATTCATTTTCTCGTCTTCAAATTGTCCATGAAAATTCGCTTGGAATGATCATTTCACTCCAATGATAATCCAAATTTTATGGTTAATTAAGGAATGTGTACTTTGATTATTCAAATTAAACCAGATTTAGATGATTTAAAGTTAAATTGAAATTAAATCAAATCAAAATATCTGTTGTAGTATTAAAGTAATAACGTTGGTACTTTATGTCGTTCTATGAATTTTCTACGTATTATTGAAAATACACTTTTGCCTTTGTCAAGTGTGACATCAGTTTTTATCACAGGAACTGTTATCTCGATTTTTAAATTATCAAACAATAATAATAATAATAATAATAATTAAAAAAATAGTTTGGAGTGCAAAAGATTTAATTTTTCGCCAATGCATGAAGATTCGCTGCCTAACTGTAATATTAAAATAATAATTCAGTCCGAATTTTTATGATCGAATTGAAGAATATTTCGATTGTCGAACATAATATTACTTATATTATTAAAATAATAACTATGCGATGTTGCAATAATAAGTTTTCTCCAAGTCTTCTGATCGAGTCAAGAATTATTCCGATATTGTTCGAGGTAAACGTGATTTAACGAGATTTTACTGATTTAGAATCGTGATAGCAATGTCTCGCAATTTTCATTCTCTCTTTTCTTTTTGCGATCACGTCGATGAAAAATCTATTTATCGTTGTGTAATATCATTAGTAACAGTATTATTTTTCTCTCACGATTCACGTAATACGTCGGTTGATATAAAACTGTTTCATTGAATGTCTGATCTGTTCCATTGTTAGGTGAAGTGGAGCGTGTCCGTGAAAAGAAACTGCACCGATGTTGGTTTCGGTAGAAATAAACGTTGCACATTGTAAAGAAATTCGTTCGACACGTTGGATCGATGAAAACCATGCACCACGAAATTCCAATTATTTAAACCTCGCAAAGTCATATTATTTTACGAACAACGAATTACTCGAATTCGTGGGAATTGCAGTATATACACCTCTGCGCAAAAATATACACCTCTTTGAGCAAGCACTGTGTCTTTTTCAAAATCAAAGAAATCAAATAATACATCACTTGGAGTAAAAAGATAGAAAGTTACGAAGTAAAAATCAATTTTTAGCAAAATAAAATGCACGTCTGCGTGATCCAATTTCTTCTCGTAATCGTCGAACTTTATCGCGTTTTAACAGGAAAAAGCCTACAGGTGCTCGAAACAAAGTGTTACGATTGTATCGTGAAAAACGAAATGGACGTGTGCGCGCGATTGTTTGCAGCAGTTAAATGAAACCTTGAACGAATTAAATCGAGTCGCGGACAGTGAAAGTGGCATAGTTCGTTCAGTTTTATATTGATCACGGAAGTAATTTTTCTCGTCTGTAAATCGAGAAAACGGCGTGAAATTGGACCAAAAGAAAAAAAGAAATAACTGGCGAAAGGTGTGCTTAAATTTAATAGTTCAATCAACAATAAAAATTAAAGATTGGAAATTTTAAATTCAACAATTTTATCGTCGAATGTCATGTTTCTTTTTGCTTCTGTGAGAGCAAAAAAAAAAAAGAGAGAATGATAACTGATATTTTTTATTTAAATCGTGACCATTAGGCAGGCCTAAAGGAAGCAACAACTATAATAAATATAAGTGAAGTGGCCGGTAATTGAACTGCTTGCTACTTCGAGAAATTAAAGGATCATTGAATTATAATTGAAAAATTGTGAACTGAGTGTAAGTGTAAAAAAAAAATACAATATTCGTACAATATTCTGCTTCTGTATATAAAATTATTATTTATTATTATAAAATATTTTATTTATTTAATTTATTATTATAAAATATTTCATTTATTTAATTTATCATTATAAAATATTTTATTTATTTAATTTATTATTATAAAATATTTCATTTATTTAATTTATCATTATAAAATATTTTATTTATTTAATTTATTATTATAAAATATTTCATTTATTTAATTTATCATTATAAAATATTTTATTTATTTAATTTATTATTATAAAATATTATGATAATTATTATTATTATATTTGTGCGTTTAAAAAACGAGTGTTGCCTCGCCATTTTTCCACATTGTAACATATCTTGGATTATTTTATCTCTTTGATTGTAATTTCGTTTATAATTGAACGGTCTCATAATTTCGGTGATAATTTAATAATTCGTGAATTTCTTAAAGCAATGTCTTCTTCAACCGCCGACGAATTTATTTTGTTCTTACCATTTCCGTATCTTGGCGGCAGTAGTCGTCCGAATGTGGTGTTCGCCATCCCCCATGTTGGATTGTACAAGTTGTTGCAGGAGCCATCGAACGTTCGATATCTCGATTCTTCGCACCTATTCTCATTTTTTTTTTTTTTCCAAAGTTGAACTTACATGGTTAACTTACTTAAAATTCTTAAAATATATAAATTATTTAATAACTTATATATTTAAATATATAAGTTATTTTCACGCGAATAGAATATTTTTTTTTTTTTACTCTGCGTTACGTATAATTTACATACACGCATGCTACATTTCATTTCTCGTGTTAGAATTATGACAGAGTAGAAACTGACGAGTGACAAGTAAAAAGAGAATTTTCCATGAATATATAAATGTAATTTCATAATAAATTGATGTTGCTTAACTAAAATTGAAGCTAAACCAACGTTTATGTTTTTCAACGTAAAATACTTTTTTACTTTAATACTTTTTTTTATATGGAATGTCTAAATAAATCGATCGGTGCATTCAAAATTATATAGTTTTTAAAACATGATCTCTCGATTTGCAAAAACGTAATTTCTACCACATTTTCTTTTGAACCAGACATCTTTTAACAACTTGAAACATTATTTTTGATAAATTTAATCCTCTAATCGTGAGATCTATCGTTTCCAGTTAATCGTCCTTTATCTATCTATCTATCTATTTAGTTATTTATTAATCATTTATTTAATACATACCCTGAGGAGAAAAAGGAAATTTTAGAGAAATAAACATGAAACGGGCTTGCAAAGTTGTGATAGAAAGTTTCCGATCCCTCTAAATCCGACAGTTTCTCCTCGATCACTGAAAAATAAAGACAAAATAATGATTGGAGACTGTATTGGCCAACATACAGATTGCATAGGCTTCGTTATTCATGTTAATTTGAAATTAATTAGTTACTTGCGTAAAATTTCAATTATAATATTATTATTATACACTTTACTATTATATACCTTATATACTAAACTATGCTATTATATAATATACTATACTATGTAATAAACTACTTTATAATATTTATAATAAATATAATAAACTTTATATAATTAACTATACTATTATATACTTTATATAATAGTAAATTAGTAATAGTAATTGTAATAGTAACAGTTCTAAGTAATTATATTTAATAAAGTTATGTATTGTAATACATGATTACAATACATCTAAGTAATTATATTTAATAAAGTTATGTATTGTAATACACAAAGTAGTAATAGTATATAATAAACTACTCTATTATATACTTTATATAATATGTAGTAATAGTAATTGCAATAGTAATAGTTATAGTTGTAGTAGTAATAGTAATAGTTGTAGTAGTAATAGTAATTGTAATAGTAATAGTTGTAGTAATAATAGTAATTGTAATAGTAATACTTTACTATTATATACTTTATATAATAGTAAAGTAGTAATAACAATTGTAATAGTTCATATTTTACACTTTATATAATAGTAAAGTAATAATAATAATTGTAATAGTAATAGTTTAGATACTTTACTTAGATACTTTCTAGGTAAATAATACCATATGAAACAAACAAAAAAAGTTCTGCGTGCATGAATCTCCTTCAGAATAAGGCAAGAAAAGAGGAAATGAAAATATTGTAATACATATATTCACGTGTCGTGTGAGTTGCCGGAAATAGACCTTGCAACAAAGAAATCGAGATATTTTCTGATCCGAACGAGATAAGTTCTTTTTTTTTTTTTTTTATTTTCCTGCAACCAATCTTTTCTGAGGTAATTTTACTTGATTTTAGGCTATCTAGATCTCGAATACGAAGTTCACGTTTCCTATTACGTATTAGGTGTTTGCAAAAACATTGCCAACTTCCGTAAACAATGAATTAAAATCTATTTATACAGAGACGTTAACTCTAACGCGTAAAAATATAAGTCGAGAAGAGGGAACAGAATTATGTTCGCGTAAAGTCTGAATAATTTGAATAATTTAGCTACTTTTATACCTAAATTCAGTCAATTCTGTGTTTACACTGAACAATAAATTATTCCATCCGCTAATTAATAAATATTGGTAGAAAATCTCCTCGAAAATTAAATATTTTAATTCGTCCAAGCCAATTTTGTACTGTATTTTCTGGATAAATAAATTTAACGTTTCTGTGAATGGCCTTTCTTACGCTTCAGTCGAAATTGAGTCGAGAGTTTATTTTAATGTACACAGGTTGCAAATATTTCGTCAGATGTGAAATAGAAGGAAAGAACTGCGCTTCATACGTTCGAGAGTGAATAGAAAAAGTTATTAACTTTAAACCGCGTTATCTCGGAATGTGGTGAATGTAACAGTAGACCTCTCATTCGAGATGACCAATCAATTATTGAAACCACGTGAAACCATTATTGACTACTGTATTCGTTACGAAATTAAAACTACTTGAACGAAAGTATTGTTCGTTATCCTCTCGGAATTACATTTTCCAATTTATGTGTTCTACACTGCAAAGCATATTAACATCCTCTTCTATCAACCAATTAGTGACCTTCCATAATGGCCACCTTCGTGTTCGTCTGAGAGTATGTCATAATTAACCCTCACGTTCGTCCTTCGTTTTTCTACTTTAATTTATTCCTTGGTGTCAGATTTACGCAGTCCAACGGAGAGATAAATTGAAACGAAGTTGAATTTGCAAATTCGTTTGTTAACAGTAAATACATACGTTCTAATCTAATGCACATGCATCCTAAATGTGTCCAATTGATTAAGAAATGGTTGAACAATCTTTTGATCTTTTGACTCTTTTTCACGGAACGTAGATCAGTTCAATCGGAATAAAGGAATTGATTGCATTCTCCATGTATCGATACGAGAAAGTTATAAATACTTACAATAAAATAATGTATAATAATAATAAAATAAAATGAAATAATGTATAACAGTAATAAAATAAAATAAAATAAAATAATGTATAATAATAATAAAATAAACTAAAATAAGGTATAATAATAAAATAAACTAAAATAAGGTATAATGATAATAAAATGAAGTAAAATAATGTATAATAATAATAAAATAAAATAAAATAATGTATAATAATAATAAAATAAAATAAAATAAGGTATAATAATAATAAAATAAAATGAAATAATGTATAACAGTAATAAAATAAAATAAAATAAAATAATGTATAATAATAATAAAATAAAATGAAATAATGTATAACAGTAATAAAATAAAATAAAATAAAATAATGTATAATAATAATAAAATAAACTAAAATAAGGTATAATAATAAAATAAACTAAAATAAGGTATAATGATAATAAAATGAAGTAAAATAATGTATAATAATAATAAAATAAAATAAAATAATGTATAATAATAATAAAATAAAATAAAATAAGGTATAATAATAATAAAATAAAATGAAATAATGTATAACAGTAATAAAATAAAATAAAATAAAATAATGTATAATAATAATAAAATAAACTAAAATAAGGTATAATAATAAAATAAACTAAAATAAGGTATAATGATAATAAAATGAAGTAAAATAATGTATAATAATAATAAAATAAAATAAAATAATGTATAATAATAATAAAATAAAATAAAATAAGGTATAATAATAATAAAATAAAATGAAATAATGTATAACAGTAATAAAATAAAATAAAATAAAATAATGTATAATAATAATAAAATAAAATGAAATAATGTATAACAGTAATAAAATAAAATAAAATAAAATAATGTATAATAATAATAAAATAAAATGAAATAATGTATAACAGTAATAAAATAAAATAAAATAAAATAATGTATAATAATAATAAAATAAAATGAAATAATGTATAACAGTAATAAAATAAAATAAAATAAAATAATGTATAATAATAATAAAATAAAATGAAATAATGTATAACAGTAATAAAATAAAATAAAATAAAATAATGCATAATAATAATAAAATAAAATAAAATAATGTATAATAATAATAAAATAAAATAAAATAATGCATAATAATAATAAAATGAAATAAAGTAAAATAATAAAAAAATAAAATAATATAAATATAAAAATAAAACAATATAATAAAATACTTAGTTATGAATACTTATAAATTGTTCTTTTCTCACGACAGAATTGTCACGGATTCATTCCTCTCAAATGGTTCCCATCTGTTCCACGTTAGAGCTCGAAGCGATGCGTTTTATTTAAATAGTCGGAAAATTTCTTTCTGTTTGCTCTTTCTATCTGGCGCATGCCATCGAGGATCGGCAGTCCATGGGATTCAATGTCGACGTAACAGATCGTGAAACACGGGTTTGCCACGGGCCGATGCCTTTCACCGCTTTTAGCCGGAACGATAAATGTTATATACCTGTGAGGCAGGATCTTATCGGCGCGGCCTCCGCAACCAAACCTCGGCAAATGAACGAACCTAGTCAACTGCGTACGTCGCGCTATAGGGCATTTGCGAAACTCTTGGCCGAATTTGAATTTCAATCAGCGCGGGAAGTATCCGCTTTGGACCGTGGCCAAATTACTCGCGCCCTGTTATTTAGAGAGAGTTTACGTCGCTCTGCATACTACTGCCGGTGGCCCCGTGCCTCGGGATCATCGGTTTTGTAAATGCCGCTTTCGATTAGCGCGCGGCTGCTTCCTCCCTCCCCAGGGGGATGAAACATCGTCGTTTCTCGGCGAACGGACAAACGTGTATACAATAAAATAAAAAATATACATAATGTATAATAGTATAGAATAAAATATAATAAAATGTCGAAGATAAAAATGTATGTAAATGTAGGGGATTGAAACTATTTTTCTTTTCAGAAACTTCTTTCGTTGCCAGATGCGTTTGAAGTTGAGTAGTTGAAGTTGAATAGTTGTTCTCCGTGAATTCACGTCGAGCAATTTATCGTAACAATTCTTTAGAGTAGAGAGATTGTTGTTATTCTTTGTGACGAGAAAGTTAGTTACGATTTCGTGGAGAAGAATATTTTGGAACTGGTGATACGATATTGTACTATAATAGAGCTTCCTGTGTATCAATTAAGAAAAAGAGACAAAAATGTTCTGTGAGTAGAAATTTTGGACGTGAATGAAATTTATAGAATATCATAAAATTTTGTAGAATATTATAATATAAAATTAGGATGAAATATTTAATTTTTAGAATATAAATATTCTATAAAATAGAATATTATAAAATTAGGATGAAATATTTAATTTTTAGAATATTAATGTACAGTGAAACTGCATATTTCATTTTATTATCAGGTTTACAATTTCTTTGTAAAGACGTCTGATACTGAATCATCATAAAATATTTATAGGAGTATAAATTTTGATATCGAATTGCACCATGTGTTCAAATAATGATTAAGAAAATTGTCAGTTTATCTGTCGATATTTAAAAACATTGTATTTTTTATATTGTTGAATCATTGTTTTTGTACTGTTAAAAATCATCGAAGTTCTTTTTCAAATCGTCAGAACATCTTTGTCATTCATAAACGACACATCGTCTTTCTTTAAGCATTTTAGTAAGTTCTTCTTCGAATTATTAATTTAACAAAGCACATTAAATACATAATGGTAAATATGAAACTTAACATTATATGCTAATATGAAGCTTAACATTAGAAAGAAAACGTTTATCACTAGTAAACGTTCCGTTTAGATAAGAGATAGTAGAGTTTTCGAATATTTGATCGAATTCGAACAATGAGACATTTAAAGGAAATTTAAAAAATTAATAAATGAATTAATGCGACGTTTTAATTTTGTACATTACTCGAAATATAAAATATAAAATTATAAATGAATTATCAAATTATGGAAAATATAAAATATGAAATTATAAAAAGTATAAAATTATATAAGAATTATTAAATTATAAAAAATATAAAATTATATAAGAATTATTAAATCATAAAAAATATAAAATTCCATAAGAATTATTAAATTATAAAAAATATAAAATTACATAAGAATTATTAAATTATAAAAAATATAAAATTATATAAGAATTATTAAATTATAAAAAATATAAAATTATATAAGAATTATTAAATCATAGAAAATATAAAATTATATAAGAATTATATAAAAATATTATATTATTAGGAATAAATATTATATTCTATAGAAACATATAAGAATTAAATAAGAAATATAAAATTCTCAGTTTGGATTATTGTAATTTCTTCTTTCAAGCACCATCGGCATTTTTGCTCTAGTTTCTTTCAAATCCATATTCCTGCCTTTAACGCTTTAAATACCAACCGAGAAAGCAGCCACGGTGCGCGATTTCTTTCTTTTCTTCCTTCCTTTTCTTTTTTTGTCCCCTGTTTCCATCGCTTTTTCAATTGGAGAAAGGTGGAACCATAGAAGAGAAATGAAAAAAAACTCGCTGAATATATTTTGCAACATGCGCGGATGCGTGGTTCAGTGCTGACATACGAGGAAGCACGAAGTAGAACGTTATTTCATTGATCAGACCAGCCACATTCTTTGACCTTACACGACAGTATATATATTCCTTTTGCCACGGTCATTCAAATATGGCTGCATTCTCGTTTCGCTGCGGATTTCGACTTTAGTCCACGCATTTGGAAATCGCATCCTTTTGCGCTGTTGACACTTTTCATGAATCGTTTGCAAAATTTAAATTTAAATTTGCACTCGACTGTCCCTTCTGAGGAATCTACTACTTGAATCTAGCTAACAGCTCGGGTTTCTTCCTCCTTTTATAATTTGCTGAAATACACTTAAGTGTTGTTAAACATACAGTTAGAGGAAGGTTATAAAATGCGAAGGTTCATATTTTGTTGGATAAATTCAATTTGAAACAATGGTTATGTGGTTTTTTGATTTTTCGCGCGAGAAAAACGACGAAAACTTCTTTGAATACCTGAATTCCGTTTGTTCGTATCAAATTTCAATCAATTATAGCCGATTAAATAAACTCGATGCTGGTGGAATCAATTTCCACAAACCTGAACTCTTATGTGTAGGATGATATTACGTTGCGTGATAAAGATACGATACGATTCATATAGTTGTGACAAATAATAAAAATATGATTCATATAAGATTACGTAGGATTATTATATTATACGAATGAAAAAAATCACTATATTAATAATTGTGTTACGATAAATGTGCAACAAAAGCGTATATTTTATTTTACTAATATAAGCGTTACGTAGTTAGAGAATTTAAATTTTCTCGATCAGAAAACCAGCCAATTAATATTTATTGTTGGACTGTGAATATTTATGCAAATGTGTGTACTTGTGCAAGCAAATAAACGAGTCACTTTCTACCAGTTTATAACCAATACTCTACTTTGGGTATTTTTAAATAAAGGAAAAGGCAGGTATTCTTAAATTTTCCGTTTCGTCAATTATTTCATTATTTGATCTTCAGTTTCAAATTTAATTCTCTTCGGTTCAATTTCAGTTCAGAATTTTCCATTCACTATAAATATATAAGCAGTTACCAATTATCAATTGCTCCAGAAAGTACAAATAATGCATAATAGAAATCACTCGGTATGAAGTATCAGGGATCTTATGAAATAATATAATATAATAATATATAATATAATATATAATAATATATAATATAATAATAATAATAATAATATATAATATAATAATAATAATAATATATAATATAATAATAATAATAATATCTTATCTGGATGAAATACTTCCTGATTATAGCACGTTCACAATTCTAATGAGTTCGTTGTCTTTTGGATTATTATATATATTATTATATTATATACTCGCGAGTGGGATTATTATATTGTATTATTATATTATATTATATTATATTATTATTGTATTATTATATTATATTATATATATTATACTATTGTATTATTATGTTATATTATAGTTTGGATTATTATATTAAACGAGTTTCTTACCTGAATCATCCAAAGATTTGTCCCCTTCTGATACTTTCTCGCAGTTTGCTACGCTTGCTTCTCTCGTTGCTAGCAGAACAAGGAACGCTGTTGCAGTCCACCATTCTATTTGTCCCTTCATGATTCTGAAACGCACAGAGCACAGTCAATAAAAAATTAACAACTAAATAACGGAAAGATTTTAGCAGTGAATTTTTTTCTACACTTGCAGGAAATTGAAAAATGCTTGCAATGGGTGCAACAATGCAGAAAAGATTCAAAAGTACAGTTACTCGTTATAATAATTAACGGCGGTTGGTTCTATCAAACTATATCAAACAGATTCATCCAACGTTTCATCAAAAATATAGAATATACTCTCGTTATATTTACAAACAAGTGTATTTTCAGTTTTCCAATTTTAAAGATTAAGAAGTTATCGTTTTATGTTTCAGGATTTGGTATACTTCTCAATTTTATGCAGAGATTAAACACGCAATTCAAATTCAATAATTAATTGATTAACACGATGACTGCGTGATTGCGATCGATCCTTCTAGTCTTATAAGTAATTTAGGATGATTATAAATATTTTATGAGAATGTATGAATAATTAGACAACATTGTAAAGTAAAGAATACGTTTTTTCATCGAACTTTTCGATCGCAGAGTAATATTTTATGAAAACTGAATATCTCATTTCATAGGCAAACCTTCGCGTGCCAGTCAACACATTAAGTCGTAATTTGGTGAATGGTTAGTGATTTTTCCACCGTTCGCAATTTGCATCACGATTATGCACCAGTTCACACGTCATTCCCCATTCGTGGATTTTCAACTGAACGTAACACCGTGATGACCATATTCAGCACAATCACCATATTCACCAGACACCACACCTTGTGATTATTTTCTCTTTCTAAGAATGGAAGAAAACCGTGAAAGAACAGCGATTTACGTTCGTTAAAAGTACAGAGAAAGATTTGCCGAACGGGCTAGGAATTGAATTGTTAATTGCATACCAAAAATGTTTCGAAAAAAATGGGAAAAACGATAGGAACGCTCGTTCGAAAGTAAAAATCGGACAAATGTACTTGTTTCGAAACTGGAATGATACTTTAAACAAAAAGAAAAGTATCGTCACGTGTATATAATTATTAATTTTAAGTTAATATTAATATTAAATATTAAAGTATAAAATGTATATAATAGTATAATAATGTAATATTAAAGTGTAAAATATTTATTCATTAGTATAAGTATGTAATTAGTATAAGTAAATTATTATGTATGTATTAGTTATGTAATTAGTATAAGTAAATTAATGATTATTATATTTGAGGATTTACATAATAATAATATTTAGGATTATAAAACATACTTGCTAGTGGCGAATCTTTTGCCCGAAGTATTAGCAAATAATGTCAATAATTACTATAAAATTCAATTGAAAAATTTTACTGTCTATGATAATTGTAGAATATTCAAAGTGAATGATATTTTAAACAAAAAGAAAAGTATCGTCACGTGTATATAATTATTAATTTTAAGTTAATATTAATATTAAATATTAAAGTGTAAAATGTATATAATAGTATAATAATGTAATATTAAAGTGTAAAATACTTATTCATTAGTATAAGTATGTAATTAGTATAAGTAAATTATTATGTATGTATTAGTTATGTAATTAGTATAAGTAAATTAATGATTATTATATTTGAGGATTTACATAATAATAATATTTAGGATTATAAAACATACTTGCTAGTGGCGAATCTTTTGCCCGAAGTATTAGCAAATAATGTCAATAATTACTATAAAATTCAATTGAAAAATTTTACTGTCTATGATAATTGTAGAATATTCAAAGTGAATGATATTTTAAACAAAAAGAAAAGTATCGTCACGTGTATATAATTATTAATTTTAAGTTAATATTAATATTAAATATTAAAGTGTAAAATGTATATAATAGTATAATAATGTAATATTAAAGTGTAAAATACTTATTCATTAATGTAATTAGTATAAGTAAATTAATGATTATTATATTTGAGGATTTACATAATAATAACATTTAGGATTATAAAACGTACTTGCTAGTGGCGAATTTTTTGCCCGAAGTATTAGCAAATAATGTCAATAATTACTATAAAATTCAATTGAAAAATTTTACTGTCTATGATAATTCTGGAATATTCAAAGTGAATGATACTTTATACAAAAAAAAAAAGTGTCATCACGTGTACATAATTATTAATATAAGTAAATAAAGTGTAAAATATTTATTCATTAATATAATTAATATAAGTAAATTAATGATTATTATATTTGAGGTCTCTATTAACTTTCGATCAGAAGTGTAGATGTTTCGTAATTAATTATTTTGAAGGAGATAACGCGAACGTTGATTGACACTGAATGCACAGTATTTTATATAGTATTTCGTGTAGTAAATAAATATTCAAATAAATAGATCCAAAACAGGAAACAGAAATCAGTGTTAATTTTGACAAAAATACCTGTCTTTTCAGCAATTCCAACAAAAAAAAAAAAAAAAAATCTGAAGTCTGTCATACTGACAGATAGTAACGTTCTAGCGTTAATAAAGACATTCTTCTTCAAATAAATAAAGGTCACACGAACTTTTTGCAATTGTTCGAAGTATTTTTTTAGAGACAGAAATATAATATATCAAAAAAATCTTTGCAGCGTGTTACATTTAATTAGATACGACATATCGAATTTCTTTATCAAATCTCAATTATTTTCAAGGTGATTACCTCTTGACGCACGGTTGATTGATGATTTTCGACACGGTGAGAGAAAGGTTGCAGCAGTGAGCGTTGTCTGAATATAAGCGGGATATTCTACTGCCAGAGCAGCAGCATGTAACGTATACGAATATGTTTCTGCTTCTTATCTTTTTATTACCTGTTGGATAAATATTTTTTAATTAGTTATAATTAGCATCTGTCATACGATGTGGTAAAAACAGAATGATATATCATATCTTTTTAACGTTGGAATTACTGTAAAAGAATGAAATTTGTATCGGAGAAATTCAAGCGCAACGAAGCATATAGTTTAATAAATTATAGTTTATGTTATTATATAATGTTAATTGTGTAGGTAATTGTGTATGTTATTATTTATATAGTTTATAATAATGAACATAAAGTATTTGTTTTATGAAAAATCTCGAGAAATACTATTATTTAAAAGTCCGAAATTCCTAGAAAAATTGGTAGAAATATTTCGACCATTTTTGGTAGTTTTGGCACTAACGTTTTGAATAATAAAGCATTACAATATTGATGTTTCACTCTGTATGATAGTAGAATCAAATTATTAATATTGTCGATATTAGAAAATTATTATATTTAAATATTTCAATTTATTTTGTGTCTTATATAAATTATTATTTTAATTTTTATTTTATATTTTACTATAAAATAATTATTTAAATTATTAATATGCTGAAATTACAAATTGATATTTTAGCTATATTGATAATTTTAGTGCTAAATGTTTGAATAATGAATTGTCACTCAATGTTGATGAAACATCGAACATCTAAAGTGATAAAATTATTAATTTTACATGGTCAGAATAGATTTCTGTGGATTTCCGATTTTCTATGCAAACTCATGTTCTTGAGATATTTATTTTTTTCATATCATATCGTGCAATTAAAAATTTTCCATAAATGCACAAAAGTTCGCACTCTGATGACAAAATTTAACACACTTGATACCTATTAATTACTTTAGCTGAAATAACAGACACTAAGAAACACTTCGCTGGTAAACAAAGTTACGTATAAGACTTCATCTAAAATGAAAAATAATTAGGGCATGTTTACGGTGTCCTGCTCTCCAACACATTCCCTTTTTTCCGCTATAAATTCCTTAACGCTAACCGTATAAATTGCGAAAGATGGCAATTAAAGCGACACGGGGGAATATGAAGAGATATTATTCTTATTCAACGTTATTTTCACTTGTTCCGCGAGGAATTAGTTTTGAAAAAGTTCGGTCGTATTCCCAACGCTGGTAATCTGAAAATTAATTTGATTCTATCGGATCGTTTTGTACCGAAATAATTCGATTTTTCTCGAAATTATGTGAAAGACAATGAAAATTATTACTATAGGAGTTTTCTATATTATTGTTTGGAATATTTATTATTTAATAATTCATTCACTCGAGAAGCTCAACTTTCGTGCGAATTATATTGAAACAGTAACATAACACTTATATTAGTCGATGCATAGTCATTTATAATCCAACGATATCTCAAATAGTGGTAATAATTAAAAATCTTCTTCCTTTAAATAATTTGAAAATTACAACGTACAAATGTAAAAGATTCTGACTTCAGATATTGTTAAACTTTATTTGCGTAATTAGATAATTGTTTGATAATGTAGTCACGTATATATTTAAGCATATTATTTGCACTATAGTATTCAAATTTGTACAACAGTAGTAAGTATATTTTAATTTACTAATTAACTTTGTATCTATTTTAATTTTTTACGAGTTCGTCTGCATTGTTTATAATTTAAAAAAAAAGATCTAATGTATTGTATATATATATATATATATCCCGCAGCCTGTTTATAATAATCTGATTAATTATATTGTCATCTTGCATCTAACAAATTATAAGAGAATATTAATAATTTATAGGTTATTTATTTAATCTATAAATTATCTAACAAATTGTAAGAGAATATTAATAATTTATAGATTATTTATTTAATAAAAAATAACAAATTATACGAGAATAACAAACAAACAAATTATAAGAGACTATTATAATAATTTATAAATTATTTAACAAATTATAAGAGAATATTAATAATTTATAGATTATTTATTTCTATCTAACAAATTATAAGAGAATATTAATAATTTATAGATTATTTATTTCTATCTAACAAATATCTAACAAATTATAAGAGAATTAATAATTTATAGATCTAACAAATTATTAGAGAATTTCTAACAAATTATAAGAGAATATTAATAATTTATAGATTATTTATTTAATAAAAATATTTTAATAGATTACTCATTTAATAAATAATTCTTTATAAATTATTAATAATTTATTAGAAATTATAAATTGGGGAATTCATAATTTCAAATAGATTATAAATTCTCCAATTTATAATTTAAATTACTTATTTTAATAAATATACGCGTAATATAATTTAATAATTGTAGTACTATGATTTTTGAAATTTATGGAAATTTTTGACGATGCAAAACTGCACATAATATACAGAAATATACAAAAATATTCAGACATTCAATATATATATAATATATCCGAAGAAAAGTATTAATTACTCTTCTGTAAAGAAAAAAACGATCTTCTATTTAGGTTCCATTTCTTTAATCATGTTTACGAGCATTCAAAAATGCATAAAAGTCCGCAGTTAATTCATAAATTTCATAAAAATACGATACGTTATACACATTCTGTGCGGAATATTGCACTTTTAAATTTCTCACAAACGCACAGAGATCCGCAGTTTAATTGTACATTTTTCGATAAAACGTGCTACACCGATACAATAAAACCGTTTGGAAGATCTTTTTCCAACTGAAATGGTGAAATAACTCGGTAAAAAAAAAAGAGAGAGAGTGTGTGTGTGTGCTCAATCGAAACAATCGTGACTATGTGCATAGAAATTTCTCAGGTTTTGTCGACTGTTTCGGCAATACTCGCGATGAGCGAAACCTGTTCTTCATTTATGGAAAACTCGAATCGTTCTGTATGCGTTTTTTTTTCCCCCTCCGTTTCTAATCGATTTCTCGTTTGATTGATGAAACTGTAGGCGAGCCGACAAAATGTAATTGCGACAAGGTAATTTGTATCGCGCAACTTCACACGCCGAATTACTAGAATTTTTTTTGCTAGAGAATTTTTTTTAGAGAGAATTATAGAGAGATTCGTCAGGTGGCTTATTTCGTTTCTGCTACGAGGAATTTCTGCTGAGTGGTATTCAATGAAGCGTAATCTGGAAATAATTTTACAGAAAGGTGCACGGTTGCATCTTTTCCTTTTTTACCATTAGACATAGAAATTAAATCGGTTCTTTTTCAAGTGAACTTGCTTTCAATTCTAATCCTAAGTTCTAAGTTTTTTTCTTATATTATTCTGCATAATGTCGTAAAGCAAGTTTCTCTTTGGTAGCTTAATTTTTCAAGCTCTTCGAATTTGCAATTGTCAAATTTTTGTATCGACATGTTCTTGGTTAGGTGTTAATCATATTGTTCTTCTTAATAAATTCAATTAATTGGTATATTAATTAGTAATTAAATCACTGTTGAAAAGTCTGCAAATCAAAAAGAATACATATATATTCTCGTAATAAATTTAATTAATTTAGTAATTAAACTACTGTTGAAATATTTGCAAAGCAAAGTTGCAAATCAAAAAGACTATATATATATATATTGTTTCTCTTGATAAATTCAGTTAATTATTATATTAATTAGTAATTAAATTAATGTTGAAAAATCTGCAAATGAGAAAGAATACGTGCATATTGTTTCTTTTAATAAATTAAATTAATTGGTAATTAAATTACTGTTGAGAAATATTGTTTCTCTTAATAAATTCAATTAATTGTTACATTAGTAATTAAATCACTGTTGGAAAATCTGCAAATCAAAAAAGAATACATATATATTCGCGTAATAAATTAAATTAATCAGTAATTAAACTACTGTTGAAATATTTGCAAAGCATAAAACTATATATATATTGTTTCTCTTGATAAGTTCAATTAATTGGTATATTAATTAGTAATTAAATTATCGTTGAAAAATCTGCAAATGAAAAAGAATACGTGTATATTGTTTCTTTTAATAAATTAAATTAATTGATAATTAAGTTAATATTGAGAAATATTGTTTCTTTTAATAAATTGAATTAATTGGTATATTAATTAGTAATTAAACTACTGTTGAAATATTTGCAAAGCAAAGTTGCAAATCAAAAAGACTATATATATATTGTTTCTTTTGATAAATTCAGTTAATTATTATATTAATTATAGTAATTAAATTAATGTTGAAAAATCTGCAAATGAGAAAGAATATGTGCATATTGTTTCTTTTAATAAATTAAATTAATTGGTAATTAAATTACTGTTGAGAAATATTGTTTCTCTTAATAAATTCAATTAATTGTTACATTAGTAATTAAATCACTGTTGGAAAATCTGCAAATCAAAAAAGAATACATATATATTCGCGTAATAAATTAAATTAATCAGTAATTAAACTACTGTTGAAATATTTGCAAAGCATAAAACTATATATATATATTGTTTCTCTTGATAAGTTCAATTAATTGGTATATTAATTAATAATTAAATTATCGTTGAAAAATCTGCAAATGAAAAAGAATACGTGTATATTGTTTCTTTTAATAAATTAAATTAATTGGTAATTAAGTTACTGTTGAGAAATATTGTTTCTTTTAATAAATTGAATTAATTGGTATATTAATTAGTAATTAAACTACTGTTGAAATATTTTCAAAACAAAGGTGCAAATCAAAAAAACTACATATATAGTTTCTCTTGATAAATTCAATTAATTGGTATATTAATGAGTAATTAAATTATCGTTGAAAAATCTGCAAATGAAAAAGAATACGTGTATATTGTTTCTTTTAATAAATTAAATTAATTGGTAATTAAGTTACTGTTGAGAAATATTGTTTCTTTTAATAAATTGAATTAATTGGTATATTAATTAGTAATTAAACTACTGTTGAAATATTTTCAAAACAAAGGTGCAAATCAAAAAAACTACATATATAGTTTCTCTTGATAAATTCAATTAATTGGTATATTAATGAGTAATTAAATTATCGTTGAAAAATCTGCAAATGAAAAAGAATACGTG